AAACGAGAGTATTAATGTTAATCTTGCATGTGAATTGTAACTGGAGGGGATAAACGCATCACAACGTTTTTAAAAAATCAGATGAATTCGTGTAAAATTCCCCTGCATTTCCGGTCTGAAAATATTCTCGCAAGGTCAAATTTCAACATGGCTATAACTCCTATAAAACAGAAAGTTGAAACGTTCTGAAAGAAGCTCGATTAATATTGACCAAAGTCTAGTTCATATGCAAAATATGAGCTAAATCTATTTTCCCTTCCCCGAACTAGTTGGTGGATTTTGCTGAGAGGCCCTCTTAAGGTCCGTTTACACCGCGGGGATTTTTGCTGCGATTTTAGTTGTGATTTTCTCCTTTTGGAAGATGTGAAGGAGTGGATGAGTTATAAATGTCCTTCAGATCCTCCAAAAGCAAAACATCGCAACTAAAATCGCAGCATTTTGCCGAAAGACACTTTGCCGAAAGACATTTTGCCGAACGGACATTTTGCTGACGCCCGACGGACGTTTTGCCGAACGGACGTTTTGCCGAACCGGGACATTTTGCCGAACGGACATTTTGCCGAACGAACAGTTTGCCGAAAGGACAACTTTCCGAAAATATATATAGAGATGTTTGGGACTGTGACTCATTTTTAACTACTGTGTAATTCTCAACCATTGTGTAAAATAACCATTATATGGTCTAATGGTCATTATAGCAATGCATAACCATATTGACTATTTTAATGTAGCTTGTTTGTGCAGCGGATGACTCACTTGTTAGGGACGTATTTTGACGTCAGGTCGTAATTAAAAGGCCCTGTCACACTATTGTGTATCGTACTAGCGTATGCCAGCGTATGAAAAATATCACTCATACGCCGGTATACGCTGACATACGCTAGCGGTTCGTTAGGCATAGGTTGTATACGTTTCAAGCATGCTCATGTACGGTGGCATACGCTGGCATACGGCGAGGCAGAAAAATTTTTTTAAGCATGTTCAAAAATTTTGTGCGTATTGGACGTATGCTTTATACGATAAGCATACTCTAGGCACACGCTAAATACGCTAGACTGGCTACGCCAGGTGTACAGTATTCATATACGCTGGCATTTCAAAGGATTTTTGTGCGTATGAAAATTATTTCGTTAATTTTCATACGCTTCTCATACGTTTCTCTCATACGCAATAGTGTGACAGGGCCTTAAAACAAACAGGCGTATATAAAGACATGCAACGCAAGTGTCTGAATTTCACTTCGAGAATCATGGATACATTCACAGTTCTCGGCTGAAATTGCATTCATGAATGATGTTGAATGATGTTATTCTTTACATCGCGAAATTTCGGTAAACTTGTCAAAAACTTGAAAGAATATAAAACGAAACAATACTTCACTATGAAAGTTTGTCCGTTCGGCAAAATGTCTTTCGGCAAAATGTCCGGCCACCATGTATGTAAACTTAAACCATATCTTAAACTTTTCATAAATATCGAAGTTGATGGATTACAGATAAAATGGCTGGAACTTGTACATTCATGATGGGTTAGTCTCAGCGTATTTAGTCGCTAAATGACAGCAAGAAAACCTAACAAATGTTTTGATTTCGTTGTATTCTGATTCACTGTAGTTGCATGAATGAGTTCATAGCGTTTTCCAAAGAAATTTCCATAATAAGTGTATCCTATAATTTTTTTTTTCCTTTTTGGCCAAGTTAATAAAATACTGAGACATTGCAGGCAAATATGCCCAGCGCATTCGGGGATGAAGACTTGCCCGCGCCTTGTAAATTTGTTTGTCAGAAAAGGGGTGATTCTGTTTATACTCATAAAAAAATCGTATTCAAGTTGATAGTTTCTTTGAATTTATTTGAAAAGACACCTGTCTTACAAATTCCATGCAAGATCTGTATTCGATCGAACATATATAGCTAGGTTATAGCGTAAACATACAATATCGTGAGCAAAGATGGTCTCTCGGATTTCGCGTCATTTTTCTGTCGTGAGCAAGTTCGTCCATTATCCACTTTTATTAACGAGTGAGCAAAAATAGTTTTAAAACGAAAAATGTCGGAATATGTTGGTAAAAGACAAGCAGGAGAGACGTCTGCGTCTTTTTGTAAGCGCATATAAGAGTATCAGCAGCTGATGAATGCATGCCTAAAAACAACAATAGGGGAAGCGGCACATCAGGGAAACGATAGAGAGCAACCTGTTGCTGAATTTGCTGTTTTATAAACACCGAGACAACACCAATTGAGTATATATTGTGGTAAAATTACTTTACTTTAAGATTTCGTCACCAGGTAGCAACACTGATTTGACGAAGGGATAACTCCAGAAAAGTATTTAGGTAATACACAAGCAGTTTACAACGTGTATGGTATCCGTTTTGATTGCGTTATTAAAACATACAAAATGATTTCTATTATATGGACAACAGTCCAGTAAATGTACAGTATCAAGTAATTGTGTTATCAGATGCAAGTTATTCCTTTGTTTTCATGGGACAGCCCAAAATATTTAATTTTGATAACAGTGTTATTCCACCTTCATGGGGGAGTTACTCATGACATCTCTTGGGAAATTGCTACTATATGTTCTGGTGTTTCGGTTGAAAATTACCAAGATTTGTTGTTACCTGAGAACGACAATACCCCCAGTATATAAGACAACTATTGGAGACCCTGCTGCATTTGTAGAATCTGTGCCAGCATATTGTTGCGAAAAACGTTAAGATCCACAATGTGTGACATATTAATTCCAGGTGTTGCATGTTGCAAAGCTTGTTTATAGACAATTCACAACATGAATGTCATGAGGACACTAATTTAGTCCAATATAACTTCCTACTTTAATCGGAAAAACGAATACAGAATAGCATCGTATCGAACATCAATCCTAAATCCTTTGTAGAACTAACATTAAAACAGTTCTACTTTATCAATTAAGGTCCTAAACTCTGGTGTTCTCTCCCAGATAAAGCCAGAAATGCCGAGACGTTGAATTGCTTCAGGAATATAGAATGCAGAAATACCTGCATGAAATACCTGCTGGTCTTTGGAGGCGAATCGGAATTGCATTTCCCTCTTGGGATTAGCAGTGTTAACGTACATGTGAATTTTTATTATTTCTAAATGTTATGCTCAAGGAGACATATCCCTTTACAAGTCTTATGGTTTCTAGATGGCTTCTTGTCATTGTCATCTCATTTATCTATTTATAGTCATTCCTTTATTTATTTTCCCGTTTAATTCTTCTTTTGTAAATAGAATAGTGGTAATAGTGACAAATTTAATAATAAATTTCTAACTTAATCCTATGGACATTGGCTAAGGAAAGACCGCCAAGTAGACTTCCCAACTGTCAGCTTGTTTTTTAACTTGAAAATGTTTGCGACAGTAAAAATCATATCTGCCACAGTTTGAAATAAATCGGCGCACACAAATCAAAGCGCCGAGTTCAATTTTAATTGAAGGTCAGTGCTAGAGCCAAAGTCATTTCTAATCGAGGAAAATCCAGTCCTGAGTTCGTGCACGCCTTAATTCCTTCCTATCTATACTAGCCCATATCATATAGCCTTCTGCAGAGGAAGCTAGAACATTCACTCATTAGCTTCTTGAAGACATGGTCACAAAACAAGCAAAATGAATTATTCCAATTGTAAGTTACTTTTAGATGAACGTTCTTTTGTCATCAATTGGAAAATCATTTTCTACATCCGAGTCAACGAGAGCAAAGACATTCTCCTCGATATCATCATCCTGCGGCGTCCCTGTGCCAGTATTGAGTTGTTTATAAGAATGTAAATATTCTCCAAGTTCCTGCTCAGGAATATCATCTTCCAAAGTCTCTGATAGAGGTCTGTTTAAAGTTTCTTCCAACATGAGACTAAAGAATGCAGCCGTAAATGCACCAATGCCAAATATCATCATTGGCAATGGCCGTGTATAGTTTCCCTACAGAGAAAGTTTGTCATAAGACTTTAGTTCCTAGACATATTCCGACAATGTTATGCACCAGTCAATGTAAATCGCTCCTCCCCAGCTCCAGGGAAAGGGCGGGGAATTTAGCGGTGAAAGTGGAAGGTTTTGACTATAAATGTATCCCGGATGATGGAGGACATGGACGACATTGTCTTTTTTTAGCATGCGATGGAAGGACGAAAGCGAGGAAATAAATATTTTAGTGAATTGCGGAAATTTGAAATGCGGGGACATTGATCCATCACCCCTGCAAGTCAAAATCCACGCTTCTCACCAGTTGGGGAGCGGAGATTTACATTGACTGGTACATTAGGCTGAGTGTGGGGGGAGATGGCAGTGGTGGGATGTTGGAGGTGGGAATGAAGTTGCCAACATAATACTGCCTTCTTTAGCCTGACCGCAAACCTTTGTTTTGCGAAAATTAGCGTGTAGTATGACTTGGCCCGAGGCAACGCCTTCTATCATTCCGAACCGCTACTCCTTCTTTCTTCTTCTACGTGACTACGTCATAAATCTGTTGTGTCACGTCATACCTCGCGGTCTTTACATCATAATTTTTGTCTGCGTCACAAATTCAGTTCATTAACATAACTCGGTCAAGGAAACTGGAAACAGCCATTAAGAACTGTCAAAACTTACTAGGAAAACAATCATTGGTGAGACAATTGCTCCAATCCTCGCAGCCATAGAACAAAGCCCCAGGCCAATATTCCTGAAAAAGACAAAATTTCAATTACAAAACGTCACGGTAACATGTTTTCTAGCTAAGACAGCTTTCAATCTAGCAAGGTTTATTTGCAATTGAACGTATATGCAAATGCAGCAAACGCAAAAAGTTTCCCATGAGAGGTTTCTGGTTAGTATTTGCCAAAATAGCTATTCTAGTAATAATAGATCGCTGTCACAGACTAGGGACCTTTTCAGAAAGTCAACTCGGCCAAGAAAGATCGAATAACTGCTGTGATGCCGTGAATCGCAATGATTTGTCATCAAAATATATTTGCCATGTTCCTAGCCAGTGCGCCTATGAGAGGTATTCTCTATGGGTATTCTCCCAATCACCCACATGAACGTCCGCCATTTTGAATACTTTCATTGCAACGGTTATACCAAATTCATAGCCAAAAATTTACATTCAAGTGCTAAAATTACATTAAAGTGCTAAAATTACTTTTTGGTTTACATTCAAGTGCTAAAATTACTTTTTCAAATTTTCTTTCCTGACTCGTACGGATGCGGAAAATGTATACTTTGCTAATTTTGGTCATAACATCATGTAACTACACTTGCTTGAAGGCAAACATGCCAGCATACGGTAAGCGTTCATAGTTGCAGGGGTACATCATACATGAATTTAATAGTGAGGTTCAGATTTAACTTCTACTACCGCTACCAATTAAATTAAGGGACCATTAACCAATCAGATGCGTTTGATACATCTGACTAGCATCTACTCGGCTTTTCGCGGAATTTGATTGGTTGCTCAGCTCGTGATATTCTTGCACTCTTCACCTCCGCACAAAAACAAAATGGCTTCTCGTCTCGTTCCGGTTACAGACGAGCAAATTTTTGTACTAAACGAAGCTGCGGGTTCACGAAACACGAAGAAAGTCACAAAATGTTGTTTAATGAACAGTATGACTAGATATATTATTTAAAGCTATTTCTAATGAATAAAAAACGTGTAAATACTGTTTTGTTTACAACCATCACGGGAGTTGAAATACAAATTGTTTTAAAATATTTTAGTTGTTTTTGGTCACCTCCACTTCGATGAATAATTGTTCATTAACCATTCAGGATGGCGTACTAAACCAATGAGAGATAGTGGAAGCCAAATCTGAACCTCTCAGTCTAATGTCTACACTACTGCATAGTACAAAAAGTAAATTCAAAATAATCTTACAAATGGTAAATGTTTACAAAATATTTTATGTTCACAGAAAAACATTACTGTCGATGCAATGGAAGTGTTGATAAAATATTGCACCAATTCCTCTCCTCAAGTTGATCAATTCATTTGATAGAAAATTGATCAACTTCCTGTTATTTTTAGATGAGCCACTTAGATTTCGTTTCAGAACCGATTGACCAATCGGAAACGCACAGGAAGTAAAAAGAAATTTGAATTCGTATGAGTTGATCAACTCGAGGAAATGAATTCATGCAATATTTTATCAACACTTCCATTGCATCGACAGTAAGAGTTTACTTTTGAAATAAATAGAAGAGGAGGGATCCACCCCTCAATTCCTTCCCACCCGCGTGGCTACGCCGCTGGTTCCTAGCGGCGCTGTCGTCAGAACAAGCGCCTTGCACCTCTGAGTTCGTGGGTTTGATTCTCACTATACGGACTCATTTGAGAAGAGCCAGTCAATACTTGGCCGAAAGTCGTTCTCTCCGGGTGCCCCGGTTTCTTCCCACAAGGAAAGTTGACAGGGTTGATTAGGATAAACACAGTTAATAAGGAAGTAATATCCAAATTGTTGTAAAATTTTAATCTTAGTTGAACAAGCCGAGTTTCGGGTGATATTTTGGACGGGAAAACTACAACACACAACGAAACTTACCTAACAACAGTGGGAAATAATTCTGCTGAGAAGATATGCATGATTGAAAACGAGGCAGCAATACCAAACTTGCCAAGGACAGCGGATGCTGTTGACAGAGAGCTATAGGTGTTTAATCCACCTGAAAGATAATTATGCCGGTATGTACTGTCTTGAAATGTAATCTAGTATTACTGTATTAGTATTCTTTATATAAGATGTTCATGATGACGGGGTATCTAGACGAAAAATACATTAGCCGTATTATTAATAAAGAGAGCACAAACCTGTTTGAACAAAAAGACAAGTTAAGCATGCTGCTCCACTTAAAGTCATGCAGTAAAATACACTTCTTTTTCTACCAATCCTAGAAGAAAATATTAATGTGCATAGGGAAAAGTATTACGCAAGTTGACAACAAAATCACAAATGTCGAAAAAACCATGCATGCTCGGCTGATGAGAATTGGCAGGAACAGGTCAATAAATCCTTAATTTTCTACAGGCAGTATATGCCTTGGTGATTTAACAAACCCAAGATCGCTTTCCCAAGATAGAAATACCAACCGTGCCCAATACATACGTGCAAAAACAGCAATTTTAACTTCCGCCTCCCCCCCCCCCGTTCAACGGTGAAAGCTTATAAATTGGTTAGGTGGAAGGTTTATATGAAATACACCAACATTGCAGGGGGGAGATAAAGAAGCCAACGTGTGTATGTGAACAGTAATACTGTACTTTACACCTAATTGTCCACGGAGTGTTTGCCATGATTGTAGCTTCAAAACGTCATCCCAGGTCTTTTTTCGAGCGATTTTTCATAAAAATGAATCATTTATTCGACTATTATCTTACTTATATATTCCATTATTATACTTACCAATTAATTATGCTAAATGATATAAAATATGCTGGTAACTCGATTAAGCTGGAAAGAAAGAAATTAAGGAAAATATTTCCGTTGATATTCTTTGTATTAAAAGACAGTCCATAATATACCAAACTGTTTATGAACCTGCAACAGAATAAAATAATTATAAGTTAGTACCATTCTAGGCAGGGGGCTAAGCTTCATGGACAGTCGGTTCGCTATATCGTTTTACCGACTGTTTATGAACAGAAACCAAGGATATATAGATTAGTTTCTTGCATTGAGGCAAACGTTGTCTATGCAACCCAGATATTTTAAATGTACTTGGCTCATAAAAGGTTAAAGGTACGTTTACACCTATGGTTTACACCATAGACAATCCAGAAGACACACACTGTCTTCTGGATTGTCTATATTTACACGCAACGATTAATCGGGCCGATTCAGCTTTCATTAAATGATTTTTTGAAAAATACGTTGTCGACGTCATCTGACGACATCGTTAACTGCAAAACCTGAAATCAGCCCGATTAATCGTTGTGTGCAAACGTAACTTAACGTAAAAATTTAGTCGCCGCCGATTGTACAAAGGTATCCATCGAATAGAGATTTTTCCAAGCTCATTTTAGAATTGTTCGTTAATTAGTATTACCTGAGTATTATTAATTTAGTCTTAATTTTATAAATTAAGGTTTCTTTGTCTTAATTGTAAGGTAATATATATCATTCTATAGTTTCAGCTTTTCAAACATTCTTACAATGCCGGTTGGAAGAAACGCACTATCCGACCTTCATATACTGGCACAACCTCGTACCCAGGGTCTTTCCTCTTGGGGAGCAAAGACCCTGGTAGACGGCTAGACGGTGGTCACGTGATCTGATAAAATCTAGCAATTTCTAATTAACTATCTTGAATTCCTTTACGACAATCGTATAAAATGCAAATTATAAATTAAACTATCAAAATGATGCAAATATCAAATGTTTATTGACCTGATCTTGGATTGCTAATTAAAAATCTGCTAGATTTTAGCAGATCACGTGACCAGCGTCAACCAGAGTCTTTGCTCTCCAAGTGGAAAGACCCTGGGTACGAGGATGATACTGGCAACATACAACCCTCTCCTTTGCGGACGATAACTTACAAAATCAGTAAGGGTTCACGATTAAAGGAAGTTATTTTAAAATGCCCATTCCCACTCAAGTAAAATTTCCACGGAAAGAAAATTTCATTGTTATAATAGTTGAAAATTTTCAACTTCAAATTTTTTTTCGACGGAAAATTTGTGTGGCCAATCACATTTTACAAAATTTTCTTCCTGCGGAAAGTTTTCCTGAATGGAAATGGGCGTTAACACTCTAGTTAATTTAAAGAAAGTGTGCACGATGGTGTTTTGATGTTTTTATTCTATCTACTATACTCATAGCAATGACTTCGAAGTTTGAACATGTACAAGAATGCATGCAAACTTTCGAAAGTTATAGTAAATTATAGTAAATTATAATTTATGCAGTATATTTTATGGTTTCTGGGTGTATGACTGTAGTTTTCATGAAATCAATCAGTAGTATTAAATGTAACTATTTCTCAAGTTACAGATCGACATTTTAGCCTAAAGCATGCATTGCTATTATTGGGCAGATGGAAGGATCAAAGTTTTGCACTACAATCCCCCCAAAATAACATACATTGATAATGAATTGTACAATATTTCTACTTCCATAAAGTTTGCAAACCTGTTCTCTAGGCGAGACAAGAGTTGCAAGAGTGTTGATGACAGCTGACTTGATACGGTTATTTCCGCGCGTGTGGCGAAACTCTCATCAGCTAAAGTTGATGAGGGTGCATGTATCAGGGAACCGATGAGACTTTGCAGTCAGACGTGACCGAGAGTTGCAACTTCCTTATCGGGATTTTCTCGATTGTGCTAGCACATATATATATATATATATATATATATATATATATATATATATATATATATATATATATATATATATATATATATATATATATATATATATAACATCTAAACAAGTATAGCTTTTAAAGAGAAATAACTTGCATCAAATAGAGGAAGGACTAACTTAGACTTTGATATATTACAGTTGTATTTCACTTAAAAATTCACGGAGATATTAATCTTTAAATTCGGGAGAATATTTCTGGATGTGTCTGAAATATGCAAAATCGGCGTATCAAATATTAATCAAGATTTGCCCGACTGAAACATGCACTATTACCAGTAAATAAATGACACTTGACAAATTGTTTATTATGAAACAAAATATTATTATATCTACAAAATACAAGCAAGATTCATTCGTCCGAAATTCGCGTGTGTTCCTAGCACGAATACGTTTCCTTATTTCATGAGACCACTGCATCGCGAAGGATCGTCATTGGATCGTTCGTAGTTCTGAATTAGGGCATGCTGTCACAACGGAATTGTGAAGATCTTCTAACTTCTGCAACGTTCTGAAATCTTGTTAAGAACACCCAAACTCTTTTGCCGTTTCTTAATCTTGGCAAGTTCGTGGAGTAAACTGAGAATTATATGAAACACAATCAAACCATACAACTCCATAAGACATAACAATTAAGCAACTCCCCAGAGACATGCAACATTTTTGGAACAAAACGTAACAAAATAGTAGCGTTGATACGGTGATGTGTATTTGCAAAAAGCAATATATTTCCTTCAATAAAGAATATTCATCCTGCTCTAACCGAGAAATAATCTACTCAGTCTGTTTGAACCCATTAAAAACATAAAAAAATTAGGCTATTTAAGAATACGAAAAATTTAAGCGCCTGCCTTCCATGGTCAGTCTTTCATGTACATTTAAGTTTGCAAAGACCTAATATTAAATACTTGCATAATTTCGAACGTTCATGTTTCAGGAAACAATGAGCTAAGACTTACATGTAAGATGTCTAAATCTACGCCATATCCCTTACAAACCTTAACGATAATTCGCTGAAATACAAGTTAGCCTAATATGTCATTAAACAAACAAACGCTGGAGTTAATATTTGATATGCCGATTTTCGCTAATTTTAGACACATTCCAAAATATGCTCCCCATTTTTAACATTAATATCTCCGTGAATTTTTAAGTTAAATACAACTGTAATATATCAAAATCTAAGTTAGTCCTTCCTCTATTTAATGCAAGTTATTTCTCTTTAAAAACTTTACTTGTTTAGAAGTTATTACGAATCAAACAGGAGTACTTTTTTTTGGGCCACCCGGTACTACAACTGATATTTGCATGAAAATTCCAGCTCTTCACGAGTTCACACACGTGAGATGCGTCATGTGGTGTTGTTGTGTTAATCGATCGGTAATATCTCACAAGTTTTAAACTTTTGTGGTTTAGGTCGAAACAATCTGAAAGACGATTAAAAAATCGACATTACGAACGAAAGCCCTTCACGTAAAAGTTAAATAGCCAGGATTAATTTAAAACGTCAACATGCAAGTTCCGATCAAAACCTCAACAGGTTATAGTAGAATACACCTACACCACCCCTACGTTTCAGTGGGAAAAATGTTAACCAAGATTGTAAGAGATCAAAATATATCACTATGAACCAACTATGAACCTAATGATAGCAAACACACTGTAGACAATCCCTGTAGAAAATTCCAAAATGTTTTATAGACCTTTTCATAAGAACATTCCATTTCTCACGTGCACTAATTTGTCTCAATTTGATCATGGCTCAAAGCCACTTTTAATGGTTGGAATTTATACACATCACAGTCCAGACAAAGAAATCGTTTCATCTTTTCCCCCTTAGCAACGGTTCAAGGATGGTGTCGCCTACAACTGTTGTAAACAAGACATCCTATTCCGCTTTCCTGAAGGCATGAATGGGAATTCGAAAATGAGTTCACGTTATGTCGGTAGTAAGACTGAAAACACGTGTTACCACAGTTTTTCTGTTGTGATGAGCAAGTGTTCTTAAGCTTTGTGAATGAATCAAAAAACCGTGCCGAAGGCGAAACTAATGAAAAATACTACAATGTTTATCAGTAAAGTTATGAAAACCATTAGACCGGTTAATCTTATTCAAAATTGCCATATTAGGCTGTATACCGTTTCAGCATTCTTCGACGTTTCAGTTATACACAATCATATTCAATCAACTTGAAAATATTTTAATTAAAACTTTTGAGAACAATGTCAATGGTAATTTTCCCATCACATGCTTTGGTTTTGGAATTTTACTCAACTTATTGACAACATTAAATTTCCAAGTACTATTACTCTAAAGCAATCTTCAATCACGAATCAACCAGCACGTTCGCTGCGTGGGTTCGCAGCCAATTAGAACGTTCCTTAGATTGTTGCAAAAAGTTGCAAATCACGCACAAAAATTAGACTTTAACGTAATATGCAAATATGTATGTGATTCCGTTTATATGTGGTATAAAATTAATGAAATTTTGCCTGAAATATCTTTAAATTAGACGTAAATTAACATGAACAAAATATGAAGAATTAATGAATTAAACCATCGTTGTTTTTTCAGCACGTTCAAAGTCACATTTTACACAGCCAATTTAAAGACAAATATAAAAGCCCAGCATTTAACTTTCAAACAAGACAAAAATAATAAAGAATGAAATTTACTGCCTGACGTTCATACATCACATCACAACATCTTCAGAGCATTTAAATCCAGACCAAAAGTGGCAAAAAGTCGACTTTGACGACACTCGTATTTTCGTATGAAATATAAAACGCCAAAGGCAAAGGTTAAATATTTTCCTTATACTTAGTCACGTTTGTGACAGTTTAATACTATTATTGTAACACGAATTGGCACGTTTCAGAATAAAAACAGTTTCTAAATTGGACTTTGTGTTTGGTTTTATATACGAGTAGGAACACATTTTTACTTTCTGTCCTCTGACTTTTTACGCCCAACGAACAGAGAACTGAGCAATGACAATGTCGTCACATCTTCAAGAAGTTGCAGTCTGTGAAGGAAGTCGTTGATTATTTGTCTACGTATGGGAAATTGTTAGTTTTATTGATATCTAATACAAGTATGAAAGATCGCACGCGAAGATTCACATGACCGCCTAATTATAATCTTCCTGGCAAAATCATGCAATGCTCTTTTGACTCTTTTTAGTATAAAATGGATGCAATATTGCCGATTTTTTTGAGATAAAAAAACCTACATTTTTATCAAAATCATCTGATCCGACCATTCCGATCAATTTACAGAAACGTTACAAATTATGTGTACTTTTGATTAATATTTTAATTTTTCCAAATTAGTCTTGTGAAGATAATTTAGATTAAATCGAAAAATTGTATTATAAAACCTGGCTCTGTACTCCACACTTTCATGCACTTCTTGTATTTTCTATATATAGGATTTATTTAGTGGGACAAAAACATTAATGAAACCGGCTCATTTCTCAGTATGTTAAGCCTGGTTTGAAGGATTTCTAAGAAATGTTTGAGGGAACTGACTTGGTATGTTAAACATCGAGTCATGCAGTTCCCTCAAATCCTTCTTATTCAGTTACACTACCAAAGTTTCTGTGACCACACCAGCCTTTCAATACTGAATTATAAAACCTCTTCATCAAAATTATATGAATATGGATGTTAAACTATATTGTTCGGCTGCCGTTTTTAATCACGTTTCTGTGAAAAATATTGTTGTCCTCGTTTTAATCACGTTTTTGTGAAAAGCTTATAAATAATTAACGTATATGGCGGATAAATGCTCACAATTATTTAAAAAAAATACTTGTTATGTAGATATGATAGGCTCTAATGATTCCTCCGCCTGCACAGTTCACACGAGAAAGCCAGCAAGCGGTAGCAAAAGGTTAGTAAGGTTAAACAAACCTCAGAACAATGAAATGCAGTGAAGTTAACATTAGTAATGCCTTAACATCAAGAAACATGGTAGATTATCTGGTTAACCTATTCAAGAAAACTCATCTAATGTTATGGCCACCGTAGCCAGGCATATTTTTCAAGCTTGCCTGGTGTGGATATACACTCAGAGTAACATCACAAGCCATCATATTCACCTGAGTACATTACAACAACACAGAAAAAATCATCTAATGTTTGACAGAATACAATAGTCAGTTTTACTTTGCCGTTCTCTCTTTAAGACTGCATTAGATTTATCTTTATAATTGTGTGAACCGAATCACATGTCTATTAAAGTTTGCGGATCCATTGAAGTATATGACCCTTCCCCCTCCCCCAAATTAGCGCTGCGTAGCTGCGTTGTTCTATAAAAAATCGCTTTTATTTTTGTCCTGGGATAGTCCATCGTTCAGACACGTGGCATTCTCTACAGTGTTAATTTACTGGGAGTCGTATAAGTTCGCTCTAGCTGGCTAGACTCTTATTAGACTGAAAACGATGTCAATAGCTTCTAATCAATTGTATGATGATAACTGATGACGATAATTTATAGAATAACTATGATAATATATCATTCTATAAGCAATAGGGGGTCAGCCAGTCCAGAGACTGTCTCGGGACTAGCACCCTAGGAAAATTTTATGGATGACGCCCTAATTTGCATATTGACTGAAAACACAGCCACATATGCCTGCCCACTATTAAACGCAATCCATGACAAGAATTTTTAACCGAATCAAGGGTTTTTCCACAGAAAGATTCGAAATAGACTACAACTGAATTCGAGAGAAGAATAAGTGAATTCGCCCCCTTTTATCGCACACAATTCTTTGAAAAACACTCGTCAAAACATTGTAGTTGGCCCAATGGCCTCGTTTTCATGTGGTTAATTTCCTTTTGTGATTGGGACAGGATCAAAGAGAAACATGGCACGAAAGTGACGAGACATAAGGATATAACCTTCATGTGCGCCGGGCCTGCATGCTATGGTAAAACAAGCAAACACGAAATCGAGGCTATTGGGACAATGCAATAAACAGTAAAGTCTATTATTTATTAATCACAAGAGTGACGTAAATTAATTTTGAAAGTTTAGTGGGCTCTATTAATTAAAAATTTATCACAACAAAATGTCATAACTGCACATTTTTTACTGTTTATCACTGCACACTTTTACTTATTGCAGAAATTGGTTATCGCCGATTTGTGCACTCAATACAGTGATAATTTAATGCTTATGTGATTTTGTGTTATTCTTGTGTGCAGGAAGAATAACATGGCTTATACAATATAGAACTCGAATACAATATCAGCTGTGTAGAGACCTATAAAGTTCGAGTTAGGTCTGCCGTCTGCATAGCCACAGCATGGGAAATGGATTACAATAAACCTTTCTTTTAATATTTTTGCCAAGGTCTGTGTGTGATTGTTGCAATTTTGTTGCTGATCATGCTGTGATACTGAGGCTATTTTGTTGCTGGCCAACGATTTGAAATCGTTCAACAGACACAATAGTAACAATATATGTGTATATATGCCAGCACATATTTCGTCTGAAAAGAATCAACTTTCAACCTGTCTGGGCGTGTTGTTAAATCTCTATTGTAATCCAATAAACCATTAATGACCTTGAAAATGCTGAGTTTTCACATTTTTATGCATAATGTTGATGCAATCAAACGAACGAGTTTGTTCGCGTTCTGGAACATATCAAGCGATATTACCTTTCTTTGAACAAAAACATTATTATCATAAAATTCAAGTGTTTGCGCTAAAAATATCAGAGGGGTAAACATGAAGAATCTGGCATTAGGGATTGGGTTTAAACCGTTTCAAGACATATGTCAAAGGAGTTTCGCGTGACAGGGTCAGTGAGTCACCTTGCTATTAATTCATAATATGCATGTCAACAGAGGCGACCATGCGTCATGTTTCAATATTGTTCTTGCGGATTTTCCTGTGGCGCTATACAATTGATCCGCACTATACTCATCGTAATATTTTTATTGCATGAAACTATATCTTATCCATTTAAACGGACGTATCTGCAAAGGAATACCTCCATCTGCCATGACGAACAAATCTGCGTTCCTGTTTGCAGAACGAAAACAATGTACAATCTGTACAATAAAATCCCTTTCACGTGTAATTTTTAAGCAAAACGTGAAAGCAAAAATTCAATTTTTTGTTATTCGGGATGTTTGTTACTTGTACGATAGAACAAGCGAGGGACGCGATTATGTAAGACATCGGTTAAATAAAGGATCCGATACGATTGATTTTCGTCTTCAAATTCTGCCCCCATGGTTTCACTTGTGTTTACAAGCACGTTGAATAGCCGCCCACGTGTGACACTCTGGCGGTCATGTGGATTTCACCGTTGTTGAAAACTCGCTCTCTGATTGGTTCATTTTTCCAAAGTAAATTCCCTAATTGGTCTCTTTGAACCGTCAGCCAATCAGATTCTCTGTTTCATTTGTGTTTGGGCTAAACTCGAATGACGTTATCGCGCGTGACAAAAATTTTCTTTAGTCAGCCACAAGCACAAGAATCACCGGCAGTGTTCAAGTTTGGGAGATTTATCCAACGTAGCTCGGATTTTTAGCTTTAAAAACAATGGGTATTGAACAGCTTCTTGCTGCAGCAAAGTTACTAGAAGAACAAGAAGCGAGTAAGTGAAATTCCGACCCTCCAAGCGCTTGCTGAGGTCTCCAATAGATGCTTTCTGTCGTCGTCACTGACGATGCATGTATTTCAGTTCTGACTCTACAACTATTTTGTTTTCATGTGCTAGTTGACAAGCGGCTACGAACGCCTGATAAGAAAAGTAGGAGACAAAATAAACGTTCACCAAGCTACAGGTAAGGAAAATGAACTTGTTTAACTAGTATCTTCACGTAATACAACGGATTAATTGCCAACGAAACGTTTGCCTGTTCGGCTGTTCCTGTGTCTTGTGTTTACTTGTGGATTGAAATATGCACGCCAAAATGTGGCTGGGTTTTCATAACAGTAAGCGACCGAAAGTCTCGCCTGTTCAGTGCATTACACTCAAATGTGTTTAATTGTGGATGAGGAGTACCTTAAGCAAACGAAATTTGAATACTAGTCTGTAACTCGAGAAAGTTCGGCGGTCCGCTGTCGAAGGACATAGCTCCATCTTGGGGGGCTTCCCCTGAGCATTCTTTCTATCTATTTTCTCGGTATTTATGGATATTATGTCATGAGATTTTTAAAACTTCCTTTCCCATTTTGCTCATTCTGTTTGTGAGCCATGCTTTGGTTCTTTTTATGCTACTCTTGGGTTTAATAAAACTCTGAATACAGCCAGATGGCGTCTTGCTTGGGTCTGCTTGATTACCATACATCACGCTGGGAAAGGCATAGTACGAATTGTTTACTATCTTCGCTTCTCTTGCACATTAAAACATTCCCAAGCATTCAAGAGTAAAAGAGCACTCGAAATAGCCTTTAAAGCAAACATAAGTTATCAATTCGAGGTTACTGGATTTTTTTGCAAGTTTGATCTCGCGGTCTCCATATTGTTTACTTTCTAATTTTGTTTTATTTCTGCAATTTTTAGCCGCTCGACACACAACCAACTGGAGAAAAACAGGTACGGTTTCGAGATGGAAGAATATTGACAATGAGCAAATACAGGAAACTTTAAAGTCTTTATTGGATTTTGAAAAACCACGAGTGCTTTTTCCATGCCACGTGTGTGGGTAGTTAAAAATTCGCACGTGTCCTGTTGTCGGCCAGTTCACCTGGCGAAATTCATTCTGCTGCACGTTGAAATATAAACAAAAGAAACATTAATAAAAACGATCTTGTATGTATATATTTAAGCATGGCCAAACGTGTTGGTTCGTGCCTAAAACATGCACATGAAACTGGAAATTTGAAGGAAACGGGAGTGCCAAATCTGACGTTTGTAAGGCATCTTCACGTCAAATGTAAACCCCGGAAAAGGGGCGATGCTATATGTGTTTGGCTTCCGGCCTTATTGATTTTATATTTTGTTTTTAATATTGCTTTATTGTCTCAGCGTTCGCATTTAAAAACAGCTCATTTCGCACAATTCTGTACACGAATTATGTACATTTTCATTGGAAATTGACAACATGAAATTGACAACATGAAATTGACAACCCTCAAATCGACCAGTCGTCTGAAATCGACAAACGTGAAATCGATAAATTTGAAACGGGTAGCAGAAAGCTTACATCGCATTTCGCACCTGTTGTGGTCTAGTATTTTTAGTTCTTCCCGAAGTGCTGTCCAATCCACAAAGCTCTAGACCAGTGTTTAAATATGACTTATAAAAAATAATACAAATCTGACCACAATATATCGCGCGTGTCACGAATAAAAATTCGACATTTGTCAATTTGAATATTTTGCCGGTGTCTGTTGTGTATACCTCCAATGTCAATGAACTGGTTTCCCCATATATAAAACACTAAACCACTAGTTTGACAAATGAGAAATATTAGTTCTTTTAGTATTGCAAACCAAGCATGAGTTGAGCCAGTCATATATGAATTTTTTAATTGGGAATGTTTGGCCAAATTTGCCAAGCAGAGGCATAAAATTAAAGCAAGCCAGTCCGGGAGGCCAAACTTGACTGATATGTGGCAATATTTTACAACATGCTGTCTCAAACATGTCATAATTAGGGTTAGAATATTTCACATACACTATTTACTTTGCTATCTATCACAATTTAAGGCAGTTATAGTTTATGAAGAGAGATGTTTTAAGGCATAAGGCAGTTCATACAGTTACCAAGGGCTGTTTCTACACCTGTTTCCTATGATAAATAAATATTCATATATAAATGATATTCTGTTGTTCGGACAAAATTCTACCCCATGCATAGGCACAAGTTAAAGTGCTCTTAAAAAAACTAATAAGACACAAACATGTGCACATAGGTTTACAGGTGAAGTCTGATCTAACTCCATTGCTCCACCCCCCAAAAAACTCTTTTAATCCCAAGTGATGTGGAAACATGAGCATTTTAATTAAACTCATTTAATATTCTGTTGTCTTGTAGACGTGCACACCTTCGAGACTGTCTTGAAACGCTAAAGGACATTGTTCCGAACCCTCCTGATCACCAAAAGGCAACAACATTGTCACTTTTACAAAATGCTAGACACTACATAAAGGTAAAGAATTTATCTTGTTCACCCCTTATGATAAAATATGTCCTAAAGTAATAATGGTGTGAAGAAGACATTCATGTGTATACTTTTATTATAGGTATTAGAAACTACTGACAAAAAAGCAGTAGCAACGAAGGAAAAACTACATCAAGAGAGAGGAAGGCTTCATAAGCAATTGAAAACACTACGAGGTGAACTTGAAGTGAGAATAAGGAAAAGCTCGGAAGGCGAGTCAACCTGTGAAGATGAAATTGACATCGATGACACAGAGTATCACAGCGAGTCAGATCGTTGCAGTACGGATGGCAGTGGTGGTAGTGATGGTGGCCTTTGAGCAACCATCAATATTTAAAGCCTTTCCTAAGGGATGTGTAAGCAGGCTAGTGTATATAATGTACTTACTTGAAGGCATATTATCAAAATACTATGTATCAGAGAAGTCGAACTGTACAGGTCTATTGTACAGAAATGAAGTGGATGAGAATTTTATAATGACACACTCTCAAATTGTATATGAAATATCGATCTAATTGTGGCAGAACATCAAAAGTTATATTGCTATTACTTCACAAACTGACTACACCTACATAAGAGTATAATTATTCTAATTTATTGAAACCCATCCACTTCACAGCTTCTAAATCATACAAAATAGGTGTAGTCAGGAAAAGTTATTGGCATGGTTGCTACACAAATTTTTGGATGGGTAAGCCACAGTTCATTGGGATCTGTATCGATTAATTTCATCACCAATATAGTATTTTCAGCATTAAAAAAAAAACATATTGGTTATAGAATTCCACAACACTTTTTGTTTATAATTAATTTTTTCCCAACTGACAACCAATTGTAAAAAGATGTTCACTTCTCTGGGATATTTTTATGTAAAACATATATCTTTGTTTTGTCCTGGGGAGCAATCAAAGCTTTTGCTTAATAGTCTGTTAAATGGGCAATGTCATACTTTCAAGCTTCAACTATTATTTTCAGGCTTTTGCAAGGTTCGGAAAGGCAAAAAGCCAAAGAGTCATCTAGAGAATTTCCACCTTGGCACCCTCAAAATTTATCAAGTTTCATACGCCCCTGGCAAAAAGTGTAACATTGCCCCTTTAACTTAGTGTAAATATAATTATATAGAATACTTAGAAAATTCGTTCTAAATTAGCATACAGGCATTCTCACAAAATATATAACTTGTAAATAAAATTGTTAATATTAATACAATATCTTTAATGCTTCCTATTTTCGAGTGTGCAAACAAGTTGTGTTTTCATTAAAATATGTTGCAATTATTTTTCAAAAACACAATGAACCCCCTGACTCTCGACCTTGTTTGAATTTTGGAGAACATACTCTTGTTTTTTAAACTGAAGATGGAATACAGCTGTTGTTATTTTGTTTATATCAAGAAAGCATCAAAGTTTTAAAAACAACAGATCAAGTGTCACTACTGGGCATTGAATGTTTTCACTTTTGGGGGCATTGAATGAAATTCTATGGTAAATTCTTTTGGCGCTTTCCAAAAAAACATATTTTTTAACTGCTTTTACAAGTTTCTCTGAACACAATTTGTTTGCACTTCTCTAGTAGTTGCATCGAGCCTGTTCATAAAACAGGCAAAATTTATTTATTGTCAAATATATTTCAAAATTTGGAACTGGAAGATGTAATTAGTTGAATCAATGTAAAGATACTTGGCATATTTAGTTAACTATAAAAATATGTTAAAATGTTTTAAAAACATCTACCGTATAATTTTTATGCATTTTGTATGACATGTATAATGTAGTGGGTTGAATTGTAATAGTGCAAGAAATAAAAAATATTTTATGAATCGAGTTGTTTGTGGTTTTTACCAACTTACAAAAAAGTGCGTTCCATTTGCGTCTGGGATGCAGTACACAATGCGTTCCATTTGTGATGGGAACGCGTTCCTCAATTTGGTCTAAAACCGTGTTCTCGCATGGAATCCTAAGAGGTAGCTACTACACGTATATTCACAACCCCCACCATATTCACTAACACTCATGTGTTTGAATGGTTATGCGGATAATATTCAACGGCATAATCATCCAAGTTGAATGGTTATGCCGATGACATTCAACGGCATAACCATCCAAGTTGAATGGTTATGACAATGACACTCAAAGGCATTCATTTGATGATATTCAACGGCATAACCATCCAAGTTGAATGGTTATGTCGATGACATTCAACGGCATAACATAACCATTCAAGTTGAATGGTTATGCCGATGACATTCAACGGCATAACCATCCAAGTTGAATGGTTATGTGGATAATATCCAAGTTGAATGGTTATGCCGATGACATTCAACGGCATAACCATCCAGGTTGAATGGTAATGTGGATAATATTCAAAAGCATAACCATCCAGGTTGAATGCATGTAATGCCGATAATATTCAATGTATACCTGGGCAACTTTTCAATTCACGAAATGCAAAAGGATTTCTGAATTTAGTGTTTAAAATATCGTTTGGGAGGAGGGGGTGGTCAAGGGGCCCCGCGCTGATATGCCACGGGCTCCGCGAAACGTTAATCCGGCCCTGCATAAATCTGGCCATATTTCTTCAAAAATCTTGTGTATCCTAGCCCGCGTGCAGGCCCAAGGGAACGCGGGCTATGTGCATCCTCTTCACTGATCCTCTCTCACAGAGCGTAGGCTCGTCCTCCCTAGAAAACCTGTTCGCAGGCCACATCATACGGTTGTGGTCATCAGCATTATCCATGGTATCACAACAATTATTCATTTGAATTATAATTTAACAGGCCATTGAATGTTGCGGATTGTAGATTTCCATACTATTAAACTTATCAATAAGTTGTCTATTTCAGCGCATATGATATTAAATGATTGCATTTGAAAAACGTTTGTATTTTTTCGAGTTCTTAAGATAGTATCGATGCATGCACCTGAAATCAACCGACTTACTTCAATCGTCGATCATTCCAAATGCACTATTTCATCGGTATCAATAAGATGGTTATTTACTATAAACTATGATTAATTAACAAACTATCAATTTTATAATGAAGCCTGGCTTACACTATCAAAGTTTCTGTGATCACAGTAGGAATTTTGCATAGATAAATTCTGAAGTTATGAAGGATTTGTAAGAAATGTTTAAGGTAATGGACCATTCCCCAATTAACCAAAATTTTGAACTCAACAAGTCTAGACAAAAATTTCACCACAGCTTGAAAGAGCATCACAAAATTAGTAATATTCCGAAGTTTCGTTGCGAAATGTTGTAAAATGCGGATAATATAGCCTTGCGAAGTTTGCAATTTTCAGTCATTTTAGATTACAAACGGGAAACGGTTACCACTTCTGTGCGTAATACAAAATGACTGAAAATTACAAACTTCGCAAGGCTATATTATCCGCATTTTACAACATTTTGCAACGAAACTTTGGAATATTACTAATTTTGTGATGCTCTTTCAAGCTGTGATGAAATTTTTGTTTAGGCTAGTTAAGATCGAAATTTTGGAAAAGTGGTAACCATTTCCCGTTTGTAAAGCAAAATGACTGAAAATTGCAAATTTCGTAAGGCTATATTATCCGCATTTTACAACATTTCGCAACGAAACTTTGGAATATTACTAATTTTGTGATGCTCTTTCATGCTGTGATGGAATTTTGTCTAGACTTGTTGAGATCAAAATTTTGGTTAATTGGGGAATGGTCCAATTGACACTCAGTCAGTTTCCTCAAACATTTCTTATGAATCCTTCAAAACTTAGAATTTACCTATGCAAAATTTCTACTGTGATCACAGAAACTTTAATAGTGAAAACCAGTCTTAACAAACTATCAATCTTATAATAACTATGACGTTATGAATCACTTGTATAACCCTGGCCACGCATCGTCTATATTATAACTGTAATGTTATTATTATTACTCTACTAGTTGTTCATGACACGAAACTAAAAATCAAAGTCTGTCTAAAAAGGGTAATATGCATAGTTCGAGTCACACTGCGGAGATCAAACAGTTCAGCTCATTCGGACTGGTGGTATACATTACCAATTTCTTCCGGAAAGTACTTAGCCTTGGCTATAGAGCGTTTGCACTCATTCCCCAGGGACCAACTCAACACAAACCATGGCGGCCATGTTGGTGTTCCAGACAAAAGAGTCCAATTAAAATTCTTTTGAATTGGAACACCAACATGGCGGCTGTGACGTCATGTGCAAACGCTCTATAGAGCCTCATTTTCGGGATTGAGATATTGGCTTTAGAGACCTTTATCTTGTTATCGATGACCTAATTATATAAAGATATTTTATATAATTTCCACCTGTATATGTCTACCTGTATGTAACAAGAAAAAGGACGGAAACCCAATATCTCAAATCACGAAAACGAGGCTCTATAGCCAAGGCCGACTACTTTCCGGAAGGATGTATTATAACAAGAAATCACATTGACTGACCGTAAAACGCTTCTGAAACCCTAACACTGAACCTATTCAGCAGTCACGATTATGGTTCAGGGTTGTTTTAGGGTGATGTTGAACTCGTTTGAACGATTCCTCTGTCTTAGCGCTGGGAATTTGTTTGGTACTGCACACCAACTATAAACTTAATTTTGTGATTTTCAGTTTTGTATTACTGTTCACTAAAACACACCGTGGTTCTCCATTTGTTCAAAACCAGGTTTTTATCCACTTATAAACAAAAATCTGCACTTTGTACGTGTCTTGATTAAAAACACAACGATCAGGAACGAAACGATAACTAAAATATAGACTGGCACACCACCAGATCACCTGTAAACCTTGTCTATCCTTGGCTGTTAACCTCACATAATCGCTGGATCTCTAACGTGTCTCTTGAGGTACTTCATCATGGCAAATGTCATAAATCTTTTCTTGCCTGGAGTGAAAGATGAACGGATGCTGCATTATCACAAGTAAAAAATATCACAACTTGTCAACAAGATGTGTTCGCAACAGCAAGCTTGTCAACAAGCTTGCTTGCAAAGCTTGTTAAGAAGTTGTAACAACGTTATTATTTTACGAAATTGCTACAAGGTTGTCACTCACAACTTGTTGAATTGCAGGACGATATCAGACTTGTTGGAACAACTTGTTGCGAGTCTGCTGGCGTCATCAACCTTGTTGCAAGATGATAACAACTTGTTCCAGACTTGTCACCAACTGGGAACAAGCAGTGCGAACACATCCTGTTCACAAGTTCTTGAAACAGCATTGCTACGAGTCTGATACAGGTTTGATACAACTTGTGCGTTTTTCCGTGTGTATGTTAATAAACGTATTACCAATTATTGTAGAAATAAAGCTTACCAATTATTTTTTCCAACTGATCATCACATATTGTGAATCGTTTATTTGTTGGATCCTATTGAAAGAAAACAATTGTGTCAATTAAGTACAGTACTATTGAGCAGCAATTGAAAAGGGATTGGAACTGACTTCCAATCTCACTCCAGATCTAAATGGAGCTCATTGGTTACAATATAACTTACCAATAAATCCCGCTCTCTAATAATCTGCCACATCTTTTTTACAACTTCTGAACGAGGCATCTAAACAACAGATTGCAGCGTTAGAATATGATCAACTTACTGAATTTATGTGAACATAATAGACAACTTGCATGTTAGACAAATTTTTGATTTAGGGAAAAAAAAGTAAATTCCCGTAAAGAACTTATTAAAATCAGTAAAATTGCAAAATTTGGTTACGAAATGTTGTAAAATGCAGAAAATATAGCCTTGCGAAGTTTGCAATTTTCAGTCATTTTGTATTACGTGCGAAAATTGTTACCATTTTCGAGCCGAAAATGGTAACAATTTCCGCACGTAATACAAATATACTGAAAATATGCAAACTTCGCAAGGCTATATTTTCTGCATTTTACAACATTTCGCAACCAAATTTTGCAATTTTACTAATTTCATTATTTTCTTTTTAACTGTTGTGTTTTATTCCCTTCGCTTTACTTAGATTAAAATTTAGTCTAACATGCAAGTTGTCCATTGAACTTACATGCGTTTCTCCCATAAGATCTGCCAATTCAGGTGACAACAACATTGGTTTTGAAAACCCTACAATCATGGCAATTTAAAGGTGAAACCAAAAATACTTGATGAAAAATGCACATCAGTTCAACGTCTGTCACTCACCTGTTTTTCTCTTTGGTCCGTCTCCTTTGTCTGTTTTGGGTTTCTTGGCTGCTTTACTTCTCTCCTTTTGTAACAAAAGGTAAAAATAGAGTCTGTGAATTCATAATATACACACGTAAAAACGCACAAGTTGTAACAAGTCTGCAAACAAGTTGTTACAAATCTGTTCATAAGCTGTCAACAAGTTGTGTTCGCACTGCTTGTTCCCAGTTTGTTGTAACAAGTTTGAAACAAGCTGTTAACAACTTGTAACAAGCTTGATGGCATTATCAGCCTTGTTACAAGATTGTGCTAACAAGTTTGTTACAGCCATGATATAACAAGGATGTTACAAAGTTGTCAACACTAGGTTGTAACAATCTTGTTATATCAAGCATGTAACGGACTTGTCAGAACAACTTTGCAACAGGTCTGATATAATTTCGATAAGGTTGTTACAAGTTGTTCCAAACCTGTTGACAACTTGTGACAAGCAGTGCGAATACATCTTGTTGGCAGACTTGTTACAAGATGTGAGATTTTTACGTGTGTAGTCGATGGGCAAGAGGATGAGGACATGATAGGTGGATAAAAGGGACAGAATGAATGGTTTCAAACTCACATTCTTAGCTGATCGCTTCAATGGACTTTTTCTCCTGGGTTTTGGAGCATCATCATCTGACTCACTGTCGCTTTCGCTCTAGAAATGGTTATGCCATAATCATGTCTTAGTTTGGTCATTACTAGCTCTGGGGCAGGTTGTACAAAGGCCGGATAATGCTATCCATGCACCTAATAATGATTTTTCAACCAATGTATATCATGCTTGTGGTTACTCTCAGTGTATATCCACACCGGGCAAGCTTGAAAAATATGCCCGACCACGGTGGGAATCAAACCTTTGAAATACTAGCTACAACCTTTGAAATACTAGCTCAATGCTCTGCCAACTGAGCTACGCGGTCAGGTCGGTTCGAGTATGTGATATTTCGAAACAGAATCTAGTTCCTTCGATATCAATGTAATCTAATAATCATGATTTTTTCTGTGTTGGTGCAATGTACTCAGGTGAATATGATGCTTGTGATGTTACTCTGAGTGTATATAGTAAGATCAGAGTAACATCACAAGCATCATATTCACCCGAGTACATTACACCAACACAGAAAAAATCACAATGTATATCAGTTTCGTAGTTTTGTCTGGCTAGTAAATTGCTTGAATATTAAAGTACAGAGTAGTGAGATCCATATATGTCTGGAGTGAGAACTTGAGTCCAAAACGTGAAGCCAGATATGCTGCCATTAGACGTCAGTTTCAGTCCCTTTCTATTGTTTTTGTCTGCACGGAGTGCACGGTCAGATACGAAGCTGCAAAGAGTGTGCCAAGATTTCGTACTTTGACTAATACTATGGTTTTATAAACTGATAATTTGATTAGCAATATGGTCTGTTAGAAAAACTGGAACAAACTGGGATAAAATGGTATTAAAACTGTTTATCCCCTTCATAAGTATTACCACAGATTAGAAATACACTGTTTCTAATATTGTATATATTAGTGTATTTCTAATCTATGGTATTATTACGACCATCTTGACGTTACTTTTCTCATGACTGAAGTTCTTGCTCGACATACAGTAAGTATATATATAGAGCTCAGATATATATACAGTAAATAGATAGAGCCCATATATATATACAGTAAGTATATAGAGCTCAGATATATATACACTTTTATACAGTAAGTATATAAAGCTCAGATATATATACAGTAAGTAGATAAAGCTCAGATATATATACAGTAAGTATATTGAGCTCACTGGTACAGATATGGACCTCACAACTAACAAAGACACTTTTATTTATAAACACTTGAGTTTAATCTGAGTATACACAACATATATTTTAGCAAGTTTGAAAAATTATGTGGCCTGCACACAACCAGCCTAAGATCTGTAAGTGGTTATTTCAAACCCTGGATGTTGTTTTTGGATATAAATTTAAACCGTTTTCAAGTGGCAATACTTAAACTACCTGTAGATCTTCTTCTGCATCAGAATCACTTTCTGTCTTTACTTTCTTTTTCTGTTTATTATTAATCGATATCACAGAAACCTGAAAATTCATATAACCCAATTACCTACTGTACAAGGGCTCAGCCAGGGTTCTTTTGCAGACTAATATTCTCCAATAGGGTTCAAACTACAGTAACAAGCTTTTGTTGGTAGGAATGCAACTACCTGAGAAATATACGGAGAATTTAGACGTTTTGAAAAAAGGCCTTCGTTTCAAACTTAAATGGTCAATTAGCCATTCCGAAGTTGATGAGTGGACTGGGGACGAGTGTTAAAAAGTGCCCAAATTAAGAAATGAACTAAATCACTAAAAAGACCACCTCAAAATTAGTAAGTATACAAAGTTTGAAGACGTTTACATGAATACCCTTCGAATAATAAGCTTTCGAAAATTATGAACTTACTGATTAAAAGATCGTTTTTGGGACGAGCGTCCCAAAAACAAAAATTGCAATACATTTCATAGTAAATATCCGATTTTCGAAAGCTTATTATTCGAAGGATATTCACGTAAACGTCTTCAAATTTTGTATACTTACTAATTTTGAGGTGGTCTTTTTAGTGATTTAGTTCATTTCTTAATTTGGGCATTTTTTAACACTCGTCCCCAGTTCACTCATCAACTTCGGAATGGCTAATTTGTGGTTTGGGAGGGCCTTAGCTCAAAACGTCGAAATTCTCTTTACATTTTTCAGGTAGTCGCATCCCTGTCAACAAAAGCTTGTATAATAGGCACTACCTACACTGGCACAGACAATTCGAACTACAGTTACCAGGGTCAAACCACAAGTAAGGTTTCATAGACATGTTAATTAGGACACACTACTAAAGTTGCATTTGGGCACATTGCAGCTTAATAGGTTAACAAAAATATTCCAAAGAATCATGCGTTACTTACCCTTTCTGATTTGACTGGTGATTTTGTTTCTTGTTCCGATGACTCCTAATAAAACAACATTTGGGTTAAAAGACTGACTGATCTGATTGTTCAATGGAAATTAACGCATTGAGTGGCAGCACTCTCCCATAATGGTGACAGATATTGCCAAAAATATTGATAATGGTGACAGAAATTTCAAGGATTACATCATGACAACAACTAGTAGCTTTAATTTTCAAACAGTGTCTGAATCGAACGTATACAGACTTCTGTTATCTCTAAATCCTCGTAAATCTACTGGAATTGACAAAATCCCTGCTAAAACTATTCGCATTGCTGCTCCTGTAATTACAAACTCATTGACAAAAAATTTCAATATGGCCATTATAAGTGCAACTGTTCCTTTTGAGTGGAAAATAGCAAGAGTCACTCCCATATTTAAAAACGGCCCACGAAACTTATACACAACAATTACTGATATCTCATTATTTATGTAATTGAGTAGATGACGTCACATGGTTACAAACAAATGAAATATCTCAAGAACTAAGCATGAGAACAAAAATTTTCAAAACAAGTTATTATACAGTTTTACAAGCATTTTCATTTAAGCTTTGGTTTAAGAGAATAAAAATTTTGATCATACTGCCCCTTTAAAGGGTTAAAACATTAAAACAAAGGCAATTTTTTAAAATTTATATATCAACAGACTATTGGAACAACTTGGATTTAAAGGAAATATGAACTGTAGGGGCAAATGTGTTAATTAGACAAGAAATATAGTAGTAAGGAAATATTGCTTTAACCCAATAACATCCAACAATCTCCACTTATTAACTTAACGAATAAACTCATAAAATCATAATGTAGGCATATTAGAGTGCTTTAATCAGGTTAACAAGAGACATGGCCAGATACAGTGTACATGCAATTGTTAGGATCTCTTTTGAGAGATGTCTTCTGTTGAGAAATGTTAGGATGGGGATCTACCACTACCATTTATTATAAATGCATAATACCTCTTTAGGGCTTTTCTCTCCAGAGTTACTTGGACTCTCTGCCGAGGCATTGTCACCACTGTCTTCTGACTGCTCATCAACCAATTGCATTACTATATCATCAATCTGTTTTTTCCTGTGCACAAAATGAGTTTTATTGCACAAGATATACCAGAGTATATCGATGTTTTGAGCAAATGCCCCTATCTGACATATGTTTTGCTTGCCTGAAAAATTACACTTCCAATCACTAGGCATTGCCTGGAAAAGAGCATGATCCATACCTGTATATTTGGGGTTTTTGCAGGTAGCCAAAAAAAATTTCAGTTAGCCCTGTATGGTCCAAACTTGCTCGCTTCGCTTGAAAATTGCAACACCAGGACCAGGCACCAAAGAATTTTTTTTAGTTATGTTTCATATTGTCAAAATTGAGGGTCCACTAAACTGCTCAAACCCAATTGGTCAAACATTTTCATATATCAAGCTGAAAATGGAGTTCTGGCATTTGAAAATGGAGTTCTGGCTTTTGGAAAGGTAGTTCTGGCATATTTGAAAATGGAGTATTGGCATTTGAAAAGGGAGTTCTGGCATTTGAAAATGGAGTTCTGGCATTTGAAAATGGAGTTCTGGTTTTTGGAAAGGTAGTTCTGGCATATTTGAAAACAGAGTATTGGCATTTGAAAAGGGAGTTCTGGCATTTGAAAATGGAGTTCTGGCTTTTGAAAACGGAGTTTTGGCATTTGAAAATGGAGTTCTGGCTTTTGAAAACAGAGATTTGTCTTTTGAAAAACTTCTGACCAAGGATTGTAGTTAGCTTCAGGCACTTGCAGGTAGCGCCACTACCTAGGATCCCAACATCTGACAAGCATGGCATGATCAAACATGCATGCCTAATACATGCCTCAAAACATGCACTAACTTCTTGACAAGGGCCTTTGATCGAAATGTCAAAGTTTTACTAGTATTTTTCAGGTAGTTGAATCCCTATCAATCCACAAGATTTTTTGTGTTTTTGCCACTACCCAAGCCAACACAAGTTTATATCTCAAAACATGCACCATTTGCCAAGCACCTTGTTTCATGATGAAGAAACTATTTTAATTAAGGAAACTTTATATCTGTTTCTGGTGAGGGCAAAAAAATGTTACTGTTATTAAACACAGGCATTTCTCAACCCCGAAGTATAGCCAGGTTGGAATCTGTGAATATGTTACAGTGGATGGAGGTTGTACCAATAAGCCGCTGACTGCTTAAATGCCAGTACGCCATACAACAGACTGAGAAGTTTTATATAAAGCATTAAAGTTATGCATGTTGCAAGTTTTTGACTGCAGTTGATACATTTATTTCAAATATCAGTCTTCAAATTCAAAAATCTTCACAATATCATACAAAAACATCAAAACTGTTAAAGGGTTTTATATTGTTAGTAACATTTACACTATTGAGTAATGTCATAAAATATCAAAAACATTTTACGCTGTAAATATCCAGCATAACATAGTTCAGTCCCTAGTTTAGGCCAAACTGCAGTGAAACCTATATTGCAGTGAAAACAACTTGGAAATGAAAAAATTGAATACATTATCTGGCCTGTTAAACATCAGTCACAGAACACAGACCTTCATACGTCACCATTTTATTCCCTTTATGCCGCCATTTCAATCCAATATCACCTGTCTAAAATTTACCCTAAAAGGGCTCTCCAAGTTTCAACGAAAGGCTCAGACAGCTGCAAACAGATCAAAAGGGGGAAAAGGGTTCTCTCTCCAGATTTTCAATGAACTTTCAGCAATTTGCTTTGAATCATTTAACTCAGAATTTTGCAATTTATGGTAAGTAGAATCAACAACTGGCACAATTATTCAATTTGTAATTCTTGGCAAACTCATATCAGGCAGATGGCACACATATTACAAAACATATAAATGATGAACAATATATTTTATACACAGTCATGGCACAGAATTATATACTAATATCCTTCCAAACGCCGTATTAAACTTTCATTTAGCAACACATATAACATGCGTTGTACCTCAAAGCTTATGTCTGATAAATTCCCTTACCTATGCAATAAATTCGCGTCATATTTCTTTTCCAATATTTTTCGAATTTTCTTAGAAGTTAATGTGGCTAGGTCGCCATTCTTAATAATTTCTAAAAAAAATATAAGAATCATTCCAAATGTAGTTCTATAAACTGTGAAGGATGACAGAGTATAATGACGTGAAGTTATAAAACGATGGAAAGACAAAGAAATATGGCCTGACCTGCAATATTTTCCCTCAGTTCTGTTTCGGTTAAATTGTCGGCCATGATGTCTGCCTGTTCATACACCCGCTTGCGGGTTCACTCCACGTGCGCTTATTACGAGGCAAAGGCAGTGGGCAAAGGGCATTGCTTGCAAACGAGGCGTAGGCCGAGTGCTTTGTTCACAGTTTAACTAAAAACGCGCCTCTCTCCATTGCAGAGTGTTTTTAGTTAGGTTTAGACCTTTGAAATGAATAGAATTAGAACGTTACCTCCGAACGGAAATTTGAAGGCGCTCAATCAGTCAATAAAATATGCTAAATCTACTAAGAGGGCGTGACAAAAACACATGTTAAATTCACAATGCCATCAACGCCATCAACACGGGTAAAAAGACTAAAAACTATAGGTTCTTCAGTTTGTTGAAAAAGACGGATACAGCCGAAAAACAAATTGAAACTGGTAACAAATCCAAAAGCAAAATATGATAACTGTTTTTTTTTGTCACGTCCGCCTACTATTATTAGCATATCTTCTGGCGGTCAGATTTGTCTTCAAGAAAAAGATAGGCAGTTTATCTGAAGGTAGTGTTCCAGTTATATTAATGGCTTACAGTGGTTTGAGTTATTAAAATCCTCGAAATATTTGAGTTATTAAAATCCTTGAAATATTAATCCTCAATTAATAGGACCACAGTTAATAGAAGAGATGGTTTGGAAACTCATTTGAATGACAGTATAACTCATTATCTGCATATTTTTGCATAAAAAAACGAGGACACGTTGCACCGCTGAGTGGCCCTTCTGTTACTGATCTTTATTCTGTGCCTAGGGCCTCCACAGACTAGAGTGATTTGTTGTCGGCCACAATTTGTTACCGACGACACGTTTCATTTGGTGCGATACCTACAACCCACTCACGTAACGACGTATTTTAATTTTAGCTGACAACAATATAAAGCTGTCGACTAAAAATCAAATTTTCCTTCCAATTTGTTGGCGACGACTAAAAATGCAATCTGATTAACCTTTTGTTGTCGCCAAAAACAGAGTTATCCACAATCATTTCCCTAAAAAATTAGGGGGCTTGATGAAAATCGCCCTACCAATACAGGGGACGTTATTCCGGGATTTAAAAATGACTGGGAGGATACAGCTCCCCCTCCCCCCATTCGTTTATATCAAGTGTTCCGCAACACCTGCGTTTTTTTACTTCTGTTTCCTTTAATTAAAAGAAAGATTTAGCCTGGGTTACACATGAGAAAGTTGTTTAGTTTTGGGCTTAACTACACTGTTTTGTACAGCTAATTTGCATGTGGGAAAAAAAAACAATCATCACAAGCAAAACCCTGTGATTAATTCGATGTCAAATGACAGAAAGATAATTAAAAAATATTAACACACTTGTGATTTTAATTTCATCCCACTCGACATAGCCTATAGGTTTCACGCTTTCCTCGAAGTGTTGTTGAAACTTTACATTACATATTACAGATAAATGTTCGAAAATCTGCAGTGTTGGCATATATTTACTTTCTCTTATAAGCATGTCATATATTCGTGTCGATCAGAGGTCTACAAAACGATCATGTTTGTCTAATTAATGAATTACCAGAGCCCAAACAAACACATTGTTGGATAAAAATAATTATGCTGTTTCGCTGTTTGAAATTTGTAAATGATATACCTGGTGCTAATAACTATTTTGAAGAAAAAATTATGCCATTTTATTGAGGCAAGACAAAGTTAGACTAAAAACGGCTTTCTTTGCGGTAAATATTCTACTCCTTTTGGGAAAAAGTTATTTGAATGTCGGTTTATAAAACGTGAATGCAAATGAGATGACTATATTGCTGCGCTTCTATAGCAACAAAACGCACAAAGGTCACCGACGCCAATCTGATACAAACTTGTCTTTGGAATTTGGATCAGTTTTCGTTCATTGAGAGATTAACATTTTTTCAAGATGTGTTAAACTTTCTCAAATCAAAACTGATCCTTGGTTTACTCACAGTCTCGTGTTGTTCAGTAGGTGTTACATCTAAGACTAAGCAAGCTGTGTGACCCAATCGTATGAGGTTAATCTGTACAAGTGGACAGCAGACCGATTCTAAATGAATACGAAGCATACGTCGGTTGGTGTTGAACGAAGTCTGGTAAACTTCGGATCAAATAGTCGAAGGTAAGAAGATTAAACTCTTGTTTATGTATATAAAACATACGCACTATATGAAATATATGCATTGACTGTCATTGGGAATGGTACTATACTGGAATACAAATGAAAGTCATCGACCACAGTCTGCCAGCTGTCAAGAAAGAATTTTCTTAAGTCGGTCAGTACGGTATGTCTGGTACGTACTCTTATTCCACATTACATGCCGGTCCGGTATAACCAATCCTGTCAAAGCTAGTTTGAAATCCCGGCCGACAGGTTATAGATATATATTAATGCACCAATTCAAAACAGGTAACATACTTTGGGAATTCGATTGATATAATGCAGTACCTTGAGGCGATCTGCACGGATACATGATCAAACTACAATCTTGGCCAAAAGTTCGTAGAACGACTGAACGTTTGCGACGTTAGTTTTCCCGTAAATGTATTTTTGTTATATTTTATAAGTGTTTGGCAACCTCCCCTGGGCCCGCCTTTCAATTCTGTCTCGGTCACAGTACGGTTGTGTTCGATTTCCAGCTATTACGGTTATGTAAAACAACATTGAATGAGGGAAGCGAGGAGGAAGTGATATATATGTCATACGAAAAAAAAGCATCTGTCGTTCTACGGTTTTTGGCCAAGATTTTAAGCATAAGGATGTATATTGACCGTCAATCGTCATGTTTTAGAATTTAGAATAACCAAAAAGCGTAAAGTTTACTGTGAAAATCCTAAAAACTGTAGAGCTGCAACAACGAGGGGGACAAGCCTGCTTCGTGTTCTCTTAATATTATTCAGAAACAGAAAGTATAGATCGAAAATAGTAACAATATATAACAATGTAAAATTATAATACTATAATACTAAACGATCATGTTTCCACATGGTCTAATTTAATGAACGGTGCCTATACTATTGAAACATTCTAGATTTTGGTAGTCTTAATCGATAGAACATGAAGTATGATGAATAGTCGAAATCTCCATCAGTAACATTCCGCCCTTTCACATTCCCGTCTAGCTATTAATATTGAGACCCTACTCACCGTGAGATCTAAAATCCTATAATTTGTTATAGACTGTTAATTAAGTTTGTTTCCTTGATCTTCAGCCAGATCATCAGATTAAGCACGATCAAGTAGGATTTCAAACTACAAATACAATCAATTTTTATCTTTTTGTTTTAAAAGAAAATATTTTAGCTCAAAATTTAATGGCATGCCAAAATCGTAGTTTTGTTGGTGTTTTCGGCGAAAGATCGTTAATTGGTTTTATATGCATTACTGAAAACGCAAAGAAGGATGAAGTTTTGTTGATGGTGAAATAATTCTCAACAGCCTAACCGGTTCCAGTTTTGATAAGAGGAAGTTGTATTTCCTAAGACTTGATTTAGGATCTAAAACGTTTCATCTAGCTCAAGTTTTCTTCCACACAAAATACCGTACCCTGTAATTTGCTTTACACTTTTTCTCTCACCAAGACGGTCGAACTTCTTCGTGGTCATTGTATTCTGTCGAGTGACATGTAGAACTTTAATTATATTTTGTTGAAAGGTGGCTGGAATCTAACAAAATAGATTATCGTACAAGTGCTCAAAAAATATTTGTTTTCTAGATCTTATGAACACACTTTTATACCTCAAAGTTGGAATTCATTTCAAAGATTGAGACAACACAATGTTAATAATAATAATACCAAAAACATAACTACAAGAGGAGGGGCAAACGACAGGACTAGTAAATTTGTCAATCAACCAACACCATCGAGTAAAGGTATAAAGAATGAATGTTGTGTATGTTTGTAGATGATAAATATAATTGTTTTTGCGCAAGACATCCCATCGTTTATTTGTATGGTAAGCCGATTCGTGTGCCCGGATCTTCATCAGTGATTCAGTTGATATTGATCAGATGAGATCGTCAACATTATTATTTGCGGCTGATGAAGGTCCAGACTTGCGGACCTAAAATCGAAAGCCTTGGCCCTTGCGACATATCGTCTTCCGGTGTTCGTAGCAAAGCTGCAAACTACTATTATTGTAATATAGTTGTACAAAAGCTATTTCAGTTTATAAAAATCAATATTTGTGGGGTTCCACAAGGTTCAATTCCTGGGCCAACATCTTTCGAATAAATGATTTGATATGAGCGAAGCTTCTCAGCATGCAGAATTCATTGCAAATTAATAATATCTAAGTGAATATATGCTGCATGAATTCTGCTGTTCATTTGGACAGCAGGGGGCAGTTAGACATTTTTTTTCAGTTATTGAAAGCTGGATTAGCTTAACCCTAGGTTAACCTGAAATTCAAAGCAAAACTTCCTGACAGCTTGTTTATATAAATTAGGAAATATTTCTTCAGAAATCTTGTCTGGATCAGTAAGAGTTTTCTTCTCTGAAGTTTTGAAATAAACAGACGTGTAGAAATACACAAACTAAAACAGCAGGTTAAATTTTAAACGAGAGTTAGCGCTTATCCAGCCTTAAACAACCTGCCCAAAAAGTGTTGGCCCATTATCATTGTATTGCCTAGCTGCATGTGTGTTTTGTGATGAAAATAATTGTTTTGTTTCTTGTGGGTGCAAATAATATGATTAAGATCTGGACTTAGAGATTGAAACACGAATTCAGTGTTTTTCACAACCCAAAATAAAATAATTATCTTTCTTTTATTCTCTACATAAAATTGGTCGTGCAAGGTACTAAGTTTCTTAGCAGTATTCATTGGGAACATAAAAAAATAAATAATATATATTGGCATGTTCAAATTATTTCTGTTGCTTTACAGACACCATCAAAGTGTCTTTGGTGACAAGGAACGACTCGAGTCAGTGTTCAAAACCTCCTCATTCAAAAGCGGCGACTGAACGGAAACCTAGTTCGCACTACTCGGTAAAAAACGACCGGCACTGGGCAAGAACCTGGGCAAACCATCGTGCACATCAGGCCGTGCTCACGCGAAACCAGTCTAGCGAAAAGTCGAGAGAACGATCAAAAAGTTGCGAAACACAAAGTACGCATAGAACGTTAACAATGAACGTGCCACGTAGATCATTAAGCATTCGCTCGCGAAATATTGAATTAGATCCCAAGGCAGCGGAGGTGTTTAGTAGGTTGAGATCGATTTATGTGAACGAGGAGGAGAGAAATCGTAGATTACAGTGTATTCGCGAGAGAATGAACGAATTTCAAAAGACATCTATCAAAAAAGAAGTGAACAAGAGTATTCACGAATTTAATAAAAAAGTAAAAGAAGACGAACAGAATCGCAAAGAACTTAGAAGAGTCCGAGAAAAGTTCATAGAAACTAAGAAACAACGCCTTAGGCACATGCATGTTTCGAGGAATGCTCTTGAAGTTCCTGCCGTTTCAAGACTTGCTTACGGACTGCCTAAAGAGGGGAAGGAATTTTCCGTGCCTCTTTCATCGAAGAAAACAACGGATGAGATAAAGAATTTATGGCGGATGGCATTTATAAGGAAACAATGTATAGATAGTTTTATCAATAAAGTTTCAAAAATGCAACCAGAGCTACCAGGTGTTACGGTAAAGTCAAGATTAAAAGCGCCAAGTTTAACGAGTGACTTCTCATCACGACCAGAACATCTTCACGTAATACAACCAAAGAAAGATCATTTGGAAGGTAGGTAGATGTTAAGTAAGTACGGTGAGAGATGCAGTTAGCCCCGTTCTAAAGTTTGCCACTAGAGAGTTTGGCAAATACAACGGCAACGTGCTCATCAACAATAGCATCTTTACTCTAAGACAAAGGTGACTATAAATTGTATTCCTTGAGCATTCTAGTACATCATAGTTGTTCAAGTAGAGTTGTGGATGGTTCGTCTGTTCTTCGAGGGTTTCTACCGGATCCTTTGGTTTTCCTCCCTCACCAGAAACCAACCCTTCCATCAGACATGGGTCGCACGATCGTTAAATATCACCTTTTTTTTCAGAAATAGAAGAATCTAAGAGAAGATCTGAGATGAACAGTCTTGCAAAACTACAGACAGGAATATTAGGTATACATACATAATTTGATATAATAAGTGAAAAAGGTAAAGTCACCTCACGGCTGTAATCAGTAACCTGGCCATTTAATTTGCTTCAAAGGGGAGTGGGGTGGAACCCTAGAGCGGTTTTAAATCTGGAGTCTATAACGTGGCATTTGTTGCATTCTGGGGAAGATTTGTCTGATTTGACATACAGAAATCAGGTCATTTTGTTCACTTTGCATTTCACGAGCCCGACACCTCCACCTAAGTTCTCCCACTCTGATAATTTTTCTTCGGAGGGGGGGGGGGCTTAGTCTGCTTCTGCAGGAGCCTATAGTTCCTGTAGCCCCTTATTTTGGCGCTCCTGTTATCGATTTATAAAGTAGGGAAGGTCTATATGTATTAGGTGGAAATGATGATCAACGTAGCCATAAACAATATTGTAAAAAACATATTCAATTAAAGGCAATGTTTTTGTTTTCTCATAGACACATTTGAATCACTGAGCAGCGATGAAGACGATTACGAGAAATGAATAAAGCAACTGGAAACAACAAATAAAGAGAAGAGCATAGAAACTGCGTGTATGGTGTAACAAAATGTAAATAATTATCGACTAAATGATATATTATAAAAATAAAAGTTCTCAATCCGCCTGACGTTTCTAGGGAGGCATAGTAGTTTGATTAGATTTTGCAAGATATTTCAGGTTACCCAACCTGATTACGAGGGTGGTCCAGAAACATAGGAGATCAGAAAAACGAATTCCAGCCCACTATCACCATCTTCTGCGTGGCTCGAGGTACTATCCCGTATGTACGAACTTTTTTTAATATTTCCTTCTAACGCAGAAAGCAAAATCCAGCGGATCATGGCCATAAAACATGTTGAATACTGTGCTATTAACAGCCCATTTTTTTTCGCTCAAGGCATAGATCGAGTGTGTGCACGGATCTTGGTGGTTAACCTTGAAAATGGCGAAAGCGATCCTCTTTTCCACTTCAAGGCAGCGGAATTAATTAAGAGACAACGAGAAGTGCGGATGATAATTTTATTCCCAATTGTTTAAATTAATTAACCCCAATAATTTTTCCAATTTTATATTAATTAATATTCTTTTTTCATATATAAAATTCTACTATTTTTTTAATTTATAATTATTCTTATATATTAATTCTTCTTTTGCCATATTGTTTTTATAATTTCACTTAGTCTTTTATATTATTTATTCTAAATTTATTGCTCCCATGGACTTCACACTCTTTTATCCGTAGGCTTAATATTTTTCCCCATAGCTTTTCACCTAGACTTTCATGCTCGTTTGACAATTTTTCTCCACGCTCTCAGGTTCGATGGTAGCCAAATGCTTTTCCACTGTATCCATGTCGCACATTTCTTTGTTGTTACAGAACGGCATCTTTTGCACCTTGCCATTGTACAAAATGCGCAGGTAAAACGAGTTGTCCGACATTTGGTAAATTTCAAAAATCATCTGCGAAGCGTACGGTGGCCATACTCCATCACTGATGTTAAACGCCAACTGTAAAGGCATGACTAACGAAAAAAAAGTCGCGAAAATCGTAAAGTAAAATAGCTGTAGATTATTTTTCAAAGGTGATCAATACTCACTCTCGTATCCAGGCTCTCTGTCGCACTCTGGAGATCTCCAGAGAGGGATAAAGAAGGATCTGAATGGAACGTGCAGGAGTGCGATGGGAAAAAAGATCCTGGATTAAGGTTGAGTGGTTGACCAATCAATCTTAAAATGAAGCGAGGCTATGCCGACGAGGTTTTGAGGAATTTTTGTGGGCGAATCAACTCTTTTAAATTAAATAGCAGAGTTTATAATTATAGTAACTCAAGGCTCAGATATCAAGGTAGTTATAGTTTAATATCATACAAAAGATTCTGGAGTTAGCTATGATCATGCCTATAGTAACGCCATTTTGCAGAAAAACGAAAAGAAAATGAACTTCTAGATTATTTCTTGTGAAGCAATGCCGAAAGGCATGTGAAGCAGTTATGAAAATTGTGGCTCAAACTCTTTTGTAAAAATATAGTTCACAACTCAAGGACAGGTCTCGGATAACTAACTTCACAGTCCACCATGGGCGGATTTACTGGGGGGGGGGGTTAAACCCCCCCCCTAGAATCTCACTAACCCCTCTTATAAAGTGTTCAACCCCACCAAAACGTCACTTCACCCCTCCTATTTTGTATGAAAGTCGTTAACCCTAACGCCTAACTCCTGTCGAAGCTCGCTCAGTAGTGCCGCTTGCACCAGACTAGAAATTTTTCCACCCTCCTTTTAAAAAAATGAAAATCCGCCCTTGCAGTCCACATCTATCATGATTTTGGATCAGTTAGTAATGAAATCTTAGCTATAGCTTCACGTGTTTCTAGAGTTAGCCAGTATTCATTAACCCCACAATTTATAATTACAATGACGTACTGTAAATCAACCGTTTGGATAGGTTATATATACTGTAGATATATCCAGTCACGTCACAAAACGTTCAATTATCAAATAAATACTTACGTGTTGTATCGTGGCCAGAATACAGAATGAACTTGAGTTTGGATTCATTATCCATCATGTCAGCTACTTCCTATACAATAAACAGTTTCGAATCATTGTTGAAAAGTTTCTAGTACATGAAAATTTCGAGCAAAAATTGTATATACATGTTTTGCACATCATCGGATTACTAAAAATGCAACTATAGACCATCGAACTTGTGGTTCTGCAATCGGTGCGGCACCCTCTGGACATATGTGCAGAGATACAGAATCCAGTTGTCAAGAACGAACTACAAGATCTATTTAGACCATCGTAAGAAAGGTACTGAGTTTCGATTCCCACCGTGGCCGGGCATATTTTTCAAGCCTGCCCGGTGTGGATACACACTCAGAGTAACATCACAAGCATATTATATTGGTACCGTCGAAGATAAGAAGATCGTCTGTAATTTTCTGAAATTTTCACTTTTGTGAAGAGCACTTCAGGTTTTAAATTAATCAACCTTACAAATATATCTAAGTTTTATGTAAGAAGAGAAATTATATAATAACTACAGTGAAACACGCAATTTGATTGGTCAATAGCCGTGCAGGATTAGGCTATTCTGCACGAGGAATTAAAATGCATTCGCGTGATTTTCGCCGGATTATCAAAATGTCATTGTTTCACTATAGTTATTTTATAAAACAATTACCAAATGGTTTTCCAAGTAGAATAGCGTGATCCATGCACTTGGTAAAAGTACACTCGCCTGTAGCTCGAGTATTTTTACGCTTTCCGAAAGTCTTGCGACATCCCTCGTGCATGGATCACACAATCCTGCACGGAAAACCATTCGGTATTCCTTTAATATTTGGCAACTGTTCATCCTTGCAAATAACAGTACTATACGAAAATGATGGTATTCAATCATACCTTGAACATTTCTTTGACGAAAAATCCAATTCCAACCTTCGCAGCCTCTTGCATGCTGGGATAGGCGTACATGCGATTGAAGACATATGTCACTTCATCTGTAACTCTCTGGTATAACTCTTGTGTAATACCTGGTGGTATTGCAACCTCGTGGCACTTGAACACATTGAGACAGTCAAACAGTTGGAATATACCGTTGTAAGCTAGTCAAGAGGTACAAAACGATGGAATTTGGAGAAAATTATATTTAGTATAATACTATAATGACAGAATGATAAAAGTTATAGTTTTCTAGTACTGGCAGATACTTACCGAACGTATCGTCATCCAAAGCAGTTTGAAGATCTTTCACCAACTGTACACTAACTGATTGGTAATGATCAAGAAAATCTGCTGATTTGAAATATGCTAATAGATACTCTTCACTCTTTGGGCACAATCTGAAACGAAAATGGTCAATAATATTTATAATTTATCATTTAATCTTGCTCTTTGCAAAACGGCAGGAAAGTTTGCACTTGTATTTCAAGCTGCCCTATATTTTATATTATTACTACAGTGTATGTTTTCATAGTGACTAGTCAGTCAAAAATTCAGCAGAAGGGTGGGAGTTGATTGCTATAAAACACTGGTATTCTTTTTATTGAATGTTGAAACACTTAAAAATATTTGCAAATTTGCTTAAGGTGGCTCAATACAGTTTTTGAAATATGATAAAATTGTGATTTAGATTTAATTTTTTGAAGAGAGGTTTCTTGCTAGAAGACAAAAATTGCACCACATAGATTGAACAATCTTCTAAGAGTTGAAAATTGTTCACAGAAATGACGATTTTGTCATATTTTAAAAACTGTATTGAGCCACCTTAAATTACTATGAGGCAATAAAAAAGATTTTGTGTTTTGTTTTCTGTCTTTAGTGTTCCAAATGTATGGACAGTGAAGAATTATTTCTTTTTGGAGCACTAGAGCAAAACTAATGACATTCACAAAAATAACAAAATCGGTACAGTACAATATTTCAATGAGGTTAAACCATTAAAGTGGAAAACAGAAAGCTTCGCTACTAATTCCTACTAACTTCCTGACCTTCACTCAAAACATTGAAGTTCTCACTTGTATTTTTCTACAAACTTCCCAATGAAGAGACTTCACTTGAAACATTGAAGTCTCTCCTTGTATTTTTCAGGTAGTTGTATCCAGAGGCGTAGCCAGGGCTGGGGCCGGGGGGCCCGCCCCCGGCAAAATTTTGCTGACAAAGTTTTTTTTACCAGTGAATTTTTAACACGGGCTCGGCGAAAAATCACATGTGTCGACAATTAATTTTACCCAGCACTACACAGAATGCCTTGCGCAAACTTTGCATCTAGAGTCACTGGCAGCTTGGCCCCACCTGGGTTTTTGCTGCCCCCCCCTGACCAAAAATCCTGGCTACGCCTCTGGTTGCATCCCTATCAATTTGAAGCTTTTTTGTTATTGGCACTTATTGCGTCTGCACCTTTGGGCATACTCAGACAGATTATAAAGGTATAGTGTTCAGAGCTTGCAAACACCACACCCAAGTATCTTACTTTGAGTTAGGGTACATATTTTCATATGTTGCATCCATGGTGTTGATATCCATAATACCAGATCGTCCTTCAACAGGTTGTGAAGGTGGGAATAGACCAGTCATAAACATCTGTGCCGACTGAAGTGTCCTAAATATATCTGGAAAAGGAGAATATTACAAAATGTAAAAGCATGCATTGAGCCATGAAACATGATGAATATTAGTCCTTTAATTAAGTGGCAATGCACCCTGATTGCCTATTTTATTATTTTGCTCTGTCTAACACCAGACAATTTTATTCATCAAGGGGAGACTTACTGCCACTCAATAGGTAAATATGTTTTTACAAAGATTATATAAATTCTCATGTCCCAAGCATCTCTCTCATAGATATCTTATATACACTAGATAGTGCATCTAATTATTCTGCAATTCAAAATTTGAAGCCGTGATTGCAGTCTCAGGTCGTTCCATGAAATGAAAGAAGATTCGTATACTTCCTATTTCTTAAACAGGGAACTTAAATATTAAGTTAACCCTATTCCAAATACATTTTTAAAGTATTCAAATGATGAAAGTTATTGTTGTTTTTAAGTGTTTATTAGCGAGTGGAAATGACCAACATGGCCGCCATCTATTCAAATGGGGGTAACCGCTGGAATATTCTTGGCTTCTATTTTACTAAAAGAGATGTGCTATCTAGTGTATATAAGATATCTATGATCTCTCTATAAGATATCTATGATCTCTATTGGTCAAATATATAAATCATATGTATGTTGCTATATTTCTATTCACTATATTGTGTTATTTCAACACAGGGTCTTACCTGTTAGAATTTGTCCTAACAGGGCCTTGGTAAATTGGTGTAAAATTGCAGATAAACATTACACTTCTACTTCGAGTCAAATACTCACCAGTACTGCGAACACGATGTTCAACAGAGGAGAAATTTTTTAACAAGAATCCACTGTCAACATAAACCTTTCTGTAATTCTCTCCATTATCAAGCTGTTGTTTGAAACCAACACTTGTCAGTTGACCCAAGGCACAGTTGCCAGGTACTTCTTCACGACCAGTATAAAACACTATAAATTAACATAGAGGACGTCAAGGTGGGTGTCAGACTTGATCCAGATCAGTCAAGATCCTCATCTATAGCTTATATAATTATGGTTATATTAGGGTTTAATAATTACATCTAGGATTAAGGTTTATATGGTTAAGAGTTCATTCATACCATCTGCTCATGCCCAGTATTTCCTGACAAAAAAATGCACATGCCTATATGCAAATATTTATGATTTCTTTTATATATTTTGGAGTCACAGTCATGCACATATGGAAATCCACATATGGGCACACCCCTCTCCCCAAGTGAAAGGAAATAAAATGTATGTTATATATATAGGCATCACATTTGCTGTTTTTGAATGTTATATTAAAAATACTGCACATGTAATTTAATTGGTGATGCAATAATAAACTTAATTAAAAAAACATTTTGATTCTTAAAAGTAAAACAAACAATGGTATAATTAAATAATGTATCCTGAAGAAATGAACTGAAACAATAAAGCAGGAAGATATACTGTCTGTATATTTTCCAATTGTTGAAGGAATTTTCAGTTGCATTTTCATTTTATTGTCTATTGTTGCACTACAAAAAAATAATTATAAGTCTATCCTTAACCTTTTCTATATAATCTTTCCACACGAAGGTAATGTTGATCACGGTTGATGGTCGGCACAGTAGCCTCAGTCAAAAGACAATCCCATGTGTGTTCATCACCTTTCCAACACTGTCCAGCACTTGCCTGAATACGATCTCCATGCCTAGGAAGCAATAGGTTCACCAAGCTAGGTTTATTATCAAATTGGGAATTTGTTTGTGATGGGCAGGTATAACAAACAACAGCTATTTTAATGCATTGATCAAGTTTAGAGACAGTTTAAGACTCAAAAGATGAATTACCGTTCAGTTTTTCTTGCTACAACTGGTCATTCTGATAGGGGAAAAATCGTCCACAGGTTGTTTGATTACCCATCATTTGGATGAAAAGTCACATGATTGCAAACATAGAATTGCAACACAACACAACATTGCAATGTTGATTTGCAAATTGCCTAAGCAAAGTTAGTCATAACCCAGTAAGTTGCACTGTACTCCAATATGCCCCACTTTATCTACTTGCACTGTACTACAATATGCCCTACTAATCATCAACGGGAGAGCGATGACCATGCTCAATGGGTTAAGCAAGATATCATTATAATTTCTTTCACAGTGGGAGAAGTTTTGCGAAAAAAACGTCTGTTTTCCAGGCTACCTTGCCCTTTGAATCTCTCCGAGATAATTGTGATTGGTTGCGCACCTGACCTTTATACTCAAACATGCAGACAAAGGTTCAAGGTTTGATTTTTTATCTGACCTTCATATTTATTGTCAAACTGAGCGTTCATGTGTGCTCAATTTGCTGGAGCAAAGTGCCAACCATATTTGCAAAAAAACTGGTGCAAGAATAATGTTGTTGTAGAATTAGCTAATTGTTTATACGGTCTTATACAGTACTGGTTGCATGCTGGTTGAAATTAATATTCAGAATGGGTGTGTTTTGAATCTGTATACATCTGACAACAATTGTGATGCCACAATTTTAGGCCTATTATGAGTATCTCAAAATAAAAACGTCATACGTTTTACATTGCCATATTGCATTGCATTGCATTGCACAACATCCTGGATTTAAATCATTTATAAATACTGTAAGATTGCAAAATTGTTTGCTCGGGAGAAAATTCTTCATTCAAAATTTTTGCATCTTAAAACATTAACCTTCTGGCTAAAATCTAAAAGATAACGCATTCAAATACTTCCCCAGATATTTCCAAGTCGTAAACAACTAATTGTGATAAACCGAGCGATAAACAATTTAAAAACATAATTTGATACCTCGTAACCAGATGAACTTGTCGAAGCGTTCCTTCAGCTTTTGGGTATTCCTCGATATCCACACCGCAATATGGCGGTAAATCAGCAACAGAATAGCTAAATGCTGTGATAGCAAGGCTTACGAATACAAGAAAGAGCTTCATTGTGGTGAAATTTAGCTAGAAACTGAACCTAATTAAACTTCTTCCTACGTCTTGCAAACTCGCCTGCTGTTGACAGACTGACAGCATTCGACACATGTCTGCATGTTTTGTTCTATCATCTGATTGTCATGGGCCCCATGGCATGGGTTCCTGTGGCGAAAATGCGCATGAGCAACTCATGACAATTCTTAAAAGGGGGGAAGGAAGGGGGAGGTTGCGGGGAGAGGATAGAAATTTTACGTGACGTGGTGGAATGCTCAGGTGATGTATAAAACTTTGCCCTCAATTTCCATATTAATAAATAAAGATTCCTAACCACTCGGCATGGTCATACTTCAAGCGCAAAAAATTGGGAATGCGCGTTTCAAATATTAAGACGCCTGGCTAGCTACCTGAGGCTGAGTGCAGTCTTGTGACAATCATGACATTTGTCACGAGACTGCACGCAAACAAGTTGAAACAACACGCAATTGCTACTGCATGCCAGACTGAATGCAAAGTCGGCATCAATGTCAGACTTTCCCCAAATCCGGTGTTTTTGGAAGGGTATCAATTAATTTAAAGCGAAGAAAGAAAAAAGAGGAACAGAGAGGGGTGTTGCTCGCTTGTGATGTATAAAGAACAGTCGATTTGTGGTAATATTCTCATGTTTCGCGCACGAGTATATTGCTCTTTAATTTGATCTTCACCTCAATCCCACCCACTCTTTTCTCTAACCCTACTATGTGCAAAACATGAGGATATTATCTGACTTGTGGCAAGTTTACTCGAGACCATGTTTTAAGTAACATCATGTGACCAAAATAAAACAAAAAAGTTCCACAATTTCTTCATCAGTAGGTTAAGATATCAAAATTGATAAAAACAGTTCTTTAACTATTTTTCATTCGATGGTTTGGTAGAAGATTCGCACAGCAAATGCAGTTTGCATGAAAAGCCAGATTTGGCAGAATTTTGGTAGCACAAATATAAGAAAAAAACATACACCGAATAATATTTTCAGACATGTTTTTAATTTATTTATGTACACGCTGCTTATTTATTATTTACACTACATTTAATTAAAATTTAGATTCACCATACCTCCAACAAAGCTGGTGACGACTGTGGCGTGGATAAACGATTGCTGGCAACTACAACTTAGCCTGCGCAGTAGACGACCTGCCCTCGACCCCAGACGCTATATAAAATGTTTACATGAACTATTCCGGAGACGTTTTGACCCCGTGTTCACTTTACTGGATTCGCTGGTCACGACATCTTTGTTTGCTGCCCAGGAGCAACGTTTAACCACAAAGGTTTAGTAATCTTTCGATAACTTCCGTATGTTTCTGCTTGTTAATTACTACCATTGTAAATGTTTAGGTTATTTCATCGACTGTTAAAACTTGATGTCGTGACCAGCGAATCTGGTACAGTGTAAACGGGACCTTAAAGACTGATTTACAGTACACAACTTGCGCCTAAAACTGTCGCTTGCAACCTGCTTACAACTTGAGTTGTACTGTGTAAATCAAGCACACAACTCACACACGACAACGTAAGCGATTGATTGCTCCCTGTGCGTCTGTACGCCACGTCTGGGGTCGAGACAGGCAGATGGCTATAACGCCCTCATCATAGTCATCAGCAGCGCAGTCTAGCACTACCTAGCCAGTCCCTTTCGAAATTTCGATTCAGGCTGCGAGCAAGCACCCAGGACTAAACGTACGAGGTGGAAAAAAGGTTGGCTTCTGCACGGAGCTGCAGAATCGACGGATATCAACCGCATATCGAAACGTAGCGTGCTCCGTTGTGTCAATAGCGTTAGTTCTACTCTACGTCTCCGACTGAATACAAAATATGCCACGTTCGTTAAGGTAAGTTTAGAATGGCGAACAGATTCAGGCCTTTTGACTCGATTCTATTCCATTCCATTCCATACATTCTTCATCAAAGAGTGCACGTCATGTCCGTCATGGATCAGAAAATAATTCTTCCGTATCTGGCCCGAAATGTTTCGTTAATATTTGCCATTTTCTAATGTGATGTTCACCCTTTCTTTTCATTCGACGTTTACCCAACTTTTCAAGTTCTTTCTCTTTTTTGTATTTCGTTCTGCGATTTTGAAACCACACCTAAAATAATGGAAAAGTAAATTTCAGATTTACAGGAAAGTAATTTTATGGTTGACAACCCAAGATTTTTCTACAGTTGTCACGTTACTCAATTTTACCTTGACTTGGGCTTCAGATAATTCCAATTCGTTGGCGAGTTTCTGTCGTTCTGCCCCGACTACGTAATGATTTGACACGAATCTTTTTTCAAGACTTTTGATCTGATCCGTGGAGAATGCCGTGCGCGTTCTTTTCTTTTTATTGTCCTTGTCATCCCTATCGACATTATAGTCGGAGAAGAAATAGTTGCCACAAGGATAGGCTGTTGCTAAATTGATTTGGAAACAAGATCTATGCGTTAATTATAATAATTATTAATATAACTCGTCAGGAGGGGGTTCGGTGGGTGGGTTAGGGGAGGGCACAAGGAAATCGAAGACAAATAAAATACCTTTAAAATTCTACAAAAAAATATCCCGTACATGCAAACGACCGAAAAAATTCTTTGTTTGCAATGACATAATTTTGGAATGTCAGATTAATAGAAATTTATCTGAAATTACTCATGAACAAATTTTGGGGGTGTTACACCTCCTGGTCGCTACGGCCCTGACTACCATGATACCATCGTGCACAGAGAAGACGGTGGTCCACCGGAAGAAGTGAGAAAATAGTGGGGTTTTTTATCATGAATTGTTAATGAATTACAATACTGATAAAAAACCATGCATAAGATGATATAGGCGTCAGGACATTTCGTTGACAGCAAACTAAACTAATTGCTGGGTATCAAAGTGAGAAAAGAATGTCAACAAAATAGGAGACAAATATATAAAAGAGATTTAGTACTTTAGATAATTTGTTTTAGATAATTTGCTTCCTCCTAAACGTGTCAACATTTCTGAACATGAACCATTGAACAACCCACCAATTCTATATACGTATTCATTCCTTATATGTATAGGTATCGCATTATATGCAAATTCACAACGCATTTAGCCGATAAAACAACTTTATGCCTTTTAGTTAACTGTATTTAAAATGTACAAACTAAGTCTGTATTTAATTGTTTTTGTTTGTGGAAACACCACGTAAATTTACGTGGTGTTTCCACAAACAAAAACAATTATATTTTATCGCCATGCAAACATTCAAAGAACTTATTAAGTCTGTATTTGTTTATTTTTTAATGAAACATACCTAAAGTTGTCCACGGTTGTACATTAGATTTGGCTGTGGTTAAAAAGTGATGACAAAGTAGTGTATGTTAATATGATCTCACTTTCTCACGGTACATTGAGTCATGTAGACGTAAGCTTATTAAAGTTGAAGAATGCCATTCTAATCTTGACTGTTTGTCGCGTTCACAGAGTGCTCAATGTTGACGGATCCTGCCATGTGTGGCTTTTATTTATCAAACTCTTACAAAGAATGTAATAACCCCAAAAGAATTGCTACGTAAATATAGCTAGACACAAGATTATTTGATGTTCTGCCTGATAACGCCAATATTAATTCGCAAACCAATAAATCACAGACGCAAAACCATGTGAACTTACATGCGCCATATAGACCGCGTGTTCCAAGCAACAGCAACAGCAAAAACAAATTCATATCCATTGCTCATATGCACCATCATCTCAGTAATAGTGTTCCAACAATATAGAAGTATTTCATTTGGTATACTTATAAAAACAACGGCAATCGGTCTTGAATTTTTACTGACAGCTCGCTCGATCACTCAACACCAACCGTTTCACAGTTTATATTATTCTTAATGAAGCAAATTAAAGCTATTTTCAAAACGCTATCCTGTAGGTATAGATTCTGACGTACCAAAGCCCGGAAACAAATTTTATGAAAATAAACGAGAATTTCTGTTCTGAGCAAAGGAAAATTTTCGCAAGTAATATGGTTTTTTAATAGACCATACAAAACTCAGACGTTCAGGCTAATCAAATCCTTATCTACACTTAACCAGCAAGTGTCTGTTATCACAGCTTTATGTAAAGCGATACTGAACCAATGGCGCTTATATTAGTATATAATTTGCCCACCCGTATATTAAACATTTCGTATAGGCTAAAATTAAACAAATGGGAAACTCATGTTTTCTTAACAAGGTCCCAATACAAACAAGAATTCAAGACCGAGTCATTAGACTGATAAGCTTTCGGAGAATGGAGTTGTTTCAACTCTCGTCAAACAAAACAAGCGCGGAGATGTAGGGCATGGTTATAATTGTTACTGCGCGAAATACTAAACAAAGACCCCGAGTTCAATTTTAATATTATTCTTAAAGAAATATTTTATTTTACTTTCACTTGTCTGTTCTTGTCAACTGATACGTTATTTGAACCTTTTGGCCTATATAACGATGAATTTGCGATTAATATTCCTGAGTCAAAACTGCATTTCGTTGTTATCAAATGTTAATCCGACTTAGACTGTTAGACAGTCAGCAACTTAAAAAACGGATTCTGATCTATTTATCAGTGGATTGCATGTTTCAATTCCTAATTCTATTTAATTCAAGCCAGTCAAGCAAATTATCTAAAAATATCAGATTTGCGCAGAAGTGCATATATCACTATCGAAATCACGAAATTAAACAGACCAACTGAGATTATAGAACAGATGTGAGATGTCATCCTATATATGCAGGGTTGACCAGAATTAAACACTACTGCGCAAAACAGAGCCTTGAATTTAATTCTAATGTATTATTACCGTTGCCTTCTTGTCAGGGAGGATTGTTGAACCTGTTCTTAGGAAGTGGTAAGGCGGGTTTATTTTTCTATAACTATAGACAGTCAAACTAAGCTAAGGTAATCTCAGTGAACTGTCTGTGCCAGTCTAGGTAGCGCCAATAATACTAGAAGCTTCGGATTGATAGGGATGCCACTACCTGAAAAATACAAGGAGAACTTCAAATATTTTCAGGTAGTTGCATCCCTATATCAATCAGAACGTTTTTCATTCGTATGCATGTCATTCGTATGCATAAGCACGGATAAGTGTAAATAGGCTTTCTAAATTTTATATAAATACTAATTACCCTCAACAAATACACATTAAATCATACACATGTCCTTTTATTCATTTTGATGACTAGTCATTTTCAAACTTGCAAATGGATTTAAATTTTTCCATGCGTGTACGCACATATGAAAAACGCTTAACTGGGACAGCCTCTGCACAATATCAAGCAACACGTGTAACCAAGGCCCTCATCCACTCTTATCAATATTTGAACCAGCTTTAAACTGTGCTTTAATCAAGGCAGACCTTGGTGCGTTTTATGTTAAAAGATTACTTAATGTATTTATCAGTAGTATAGATTGCGTGTTTACCACAATCCAATTCCATCATGCGAGTCTAAAAATATCAGATTTGCGCAGGCAACGAATGTATCACCAACAAAATCACGAACACGCTTAGACTGTGAACACATGCAATTACATTAAGAAATATTTCATCTTGTTTTGCCTTGTAGGCATATATAGCTGCTTCCAATGTATCGACGATGTGTTATTTACAAAGTTACAATTTGCAAAGTTACACTTTTCGATACAGCATGCATGCATGCGTCAACACTGTTTAATAACTAACATGCAATGAAATCAGTTTGTGTTGCAAGTTGAAGAAAATTTTTTGCGGCTCTTGAACAACTCACCTGCGACAACGTTAGACGAGTTGTGTGCTTGATTTACACAGTACAATTCAAGTTGTAAACAGATTGTATATGCGACAGTTTTAGGCGCCAATAGTGTATATACATATAATATAAATCCATATTTGCATGGACTATAAATGATATGGCCTTATATGTATACGTCAGACAATTTTAATTGTCTGTAGGAGCGTCCCGGACGAAAGCAACGTTAAGAGGATCACTGAGAATTAAGAAGCAAAAGATAACGAAAGACGGCACAGTGCCAAAGAGGTGACAGAAATGAGTGGGAACAGAAAATATTTCAAGCCCAACATAAACAAAAGTATTTAACGAGAATTTGAAACGAGCCGATTGACTTACTTATGCGCACATAATTTTGTTAAACATGTTTGAATCTTAAGAAATTAATTAGTCATCTTTGATGTGGAGAAGGGCCAGAAGGCATTCATAAGTGATCGTGTCGACCTTCACTTTCATCCTCGTTTAATCCAATCTTAGCACTTAGTAGCGGAAATAGTGCAACCCATTGCTACTAAATGGACCTGCTTGATACTTCGGCAGGACTAAAAATCGTCAAACTACCATTAAAACATGTCAGATTATTACATTCCAACTAATGATAAATGTTTTACATCATGAACAATGCGTGCAATGACTATATATTTTACTTTGTACATCACATAACTATATTTATATAAGACCATGAAATGTGTGCATGGATTAAATCATGCATGTCAGTGACGCGGCGCTCAACGAACAATATTGTGTCATGGCAACATTAATACAGTCAGGATAAAATGAAAACCATTCCGTGTATATCCTTATTGAATTGCGAATTTTGTAAAACGTATTTATTTGAAAATAACGCAGTTGTGCTCACATGAAGTATTCAAGAAACTGAGTTGAAAAAGATGTCACTAAATATATTTGAATAAATTGCGATAAATATACTGAATGAATTATACAGGTATAGCTGCCGGTAATTAAGTTTGATTTTTTCAGATTAAGCCGGTCTATTTTTTATCCACGACCTGAGTGACTATAACCAGCTAGACTGTCATTCTTTTACTCTCTTCTTTACTTTAAATAACCATTAGAGTATGCGTTTAGTACTTTAGTTTTCAAAACAGAGACTGAATGACGACAAAAATAAGGCTAAATACCGTCGCCATTCTCGGTCAGTTGCCAACAGTGCCAGTGGCCATTGCGCGCATGTACGCAAAATGTCCAAAATGCATGATTAACGGCTGATTCCACGGTGTATCGTAGGTTGATATATCTTTACACTACAATTTGTTTCCTTATAGTTAACCTTGCTTATTATATTGTTGCTGTTATCGAACAAGAATTCGATCCCATATTCTTATAACCAGTTACCTAATCTTTATTCCTTCTGTTCTGCTCGCCTAATTTACTCAGCACGGTCATTATAGATACTTGATTAGTACCATTTCACAAACAGAGACAGTCTGTTCCCAAATACTCCTGTAATACTGCTGTCTAGTATTAAAATACCCACACTCCGTGACAGAACTTATTCATACTCATCGTAAGAAGGATCCTTGTAGTGACTCACTGCGTCCTACGTCTCCGACTCTTTGAACTAAAGCGCGCGGTCGTACTGAATACCCCAGCATCGGGCAGTTAGAAACTGCCATACTCCAAACACGCGCACTTCAGTTTAGCTGCTTCTTATAAGAATGATTGGCAAGACAATGCGCCTAAATTGTAGTCATAAACAACTCAACTAGCTGTAACAACATGCTAAACGACGTTCAATGATCAATTAGCACATATTTCAGTTGCTCCTTCATAAAAGTTTTCTTTTAAACGTTTCCTAATTGCATTAATAAACCGACTCATTCAAAGCGCGCAAGGGTGCGCTCAGCGGACGCAAATGATGTAAAGATCAGTGGCGCGCATTTATTCATTCGGTTTCCCTGGCTTGCGCATATGTATGAACAACAATTGAGCATAACTGCAATCAAGGCATAAGGCATCTTCTTCAGAAACGATAGACAATATTAATCTTCATGTGTGTAACTATGACAAGACGGATCTTTGATGTGGCGTGGCTATGCGTCCTTGAAGTATTTGTTTAGTTTAAACATCGTTAAAAGCACCTAATAAATTATACTATCTCGGCTATGGAACGGGCGCTTAAGTAGTTGATATATAGGCCAAATATATACGGATATCAGCCGCGATGGACTATATAATAGTGGCATATTGGCGATAAGGATAAACAACGTAAACTCATTCAGATGGTCGTTTAGTCACAGAACTTGCTGATAAGTGAGACCTTTTTCGCCTCCGGTGAATTTCATTATAATTCGGTCAATCATTTTGTAAATGTGGCGATTTATTAGCAACATTCTTTTTTATGACTTTGATTTTGTAATAATTTTACGTAAAGCCTGAAAGGCAAGCGCACAGAATACGGAGTCTACGTATTTTATATGATAGCGCGTCATACTGAAAGCCGCCGTCAATTCATTGCGACAGGTCGCTACAGGCAGGTTAGCAGACAGTACAAATGCTTTTCACTAACCATATTTACAATTTGCAATGTACGATATGGATGTACAATGCAATCACTAATCGCATTGTAATAGGAACGAAATCTCGCAGGTGAGGAATTCAGCTATAATTTTATAGCGGCCGTATCACAATTCGTCAACAATCTCATGATAATAACTCTCTGTTGTGCTTGTGAATTCCCTGTGCACTCTAACTAACTACCTACAATTTAAACTAACATACCTGGGTTAGAGTTGTACGTGTTTAAAGCAGCACCATACTGCATTCCTGGTGGGGAACACCAAGCGCTCGACCCATTAGGCCAAAACTGTTGGCCACTGTTCGGAGGTGTTGGTGGTGGTGCTCCGAACTCTTGTCTACGGTAGCAGTCTGTTGAAAATACTTGTGCTTTATCCATTGAGTGAATCCCTGGATACGAAGGAGAATACGGACTGAATAGTCCTTGATCTTGAGGCTGGCCTGTCATGAGTGAGGCAACGCTAAACCGGGCTAAACCAGGGAGCATTTTTGGAGTTTCCACAAGGAGTATAGTCTTGTACACTATATGGAGAAGTTTAATAGAGAACGCCAGCAAACAAGTTCTCTTCCACCGCTTCTCACTATGATACCAATTTCAAACTGTCCTGATTCCTTAAAAGGATCCTTTGTACGAAAAGCTTGCAAATTACAGACTGGTGCAAGTTTCAGAATATTTTTAGTAATTTGTAATATTTGCGTTTACAATTGATGCGCATACAAAGAGTGCGCCAAGGTAGATACTTGAGATAGGTCGTGCACATCTACAAGCGCAATCGTGCCAAATGCGCGCTGCCACTTTTCTGGAGGTTTTAAAACACGTTCGTTTTTTTTTGCAGGCGCGCGTTCACTGATTGACACGTGCGCCAACGTCTGACGTTCACAGACTGTCGAGCTTAATATTAGGACGTGGTTATTCGTGGCGCTGTGGACAGTTGTGGCAAATAATAAGTGATCAGATTTCAGGATTGGGACGTTTTGTAAGTTGAGGTCGCGAGATAAGATAAGAGTGACATGATGTTTTTTCACTGTCTCATTTGTTTACTCAAGACAGCTTTATTGAACAGGCTGTAAAAACACAGATCACCCAAACACCATGTTCGATAATAGCCTTGACAAAACATTTACACTCAGTGTTGTTTTTATACGGTCTGTGTTCCTCATTCAAATGAACACTTCAAACGTTGCGCAAGTAGTACACGTGCGCAATTAATAAAGAAAGGAAAGTACATTAATTGCAACAAAGGAGAGCTGCGATTGTTGCAGATGACGATGATGTCATCAAATCTATTAAATGTTGTATTAAAATTTGGGGGTGCTAAAAATCCTTTATTGCAGCTAAATACTGAATTGCAAGGGACGTAACCGTGCAGAAGACGAATTAGGGTGGCCATACGTCTTATGTCTAATCAAGTCTGTAGGGTCACCCAACCTAGGTAATAAAAGTAATACCTCAAGTAATACTTTACCCACTGACGACCTATAGAGTATAGTGGCAAGTATGTTAACTCTTACGTATAATTACAATGTATGCAGCTGTAGACATTATATAGAAGAGGTTTTTCACTACCTGAAGCGACAATAAATTCCGGCCTTTATCTACGAGTTACACGGTGTGGTTGCTTTATTGTTGGAACAAATCTTCAGAACCCTTTACAGCATTAGAGTGTTAACTTAATTTCTTCATCCACTTACAGTAAGTCAGACATTGTCCTGCATCATGTCGAATGCAAGTTGATCACATTTGTCTGCATGTGAAATTCCCCGGACGTAATTAAAAGAGTTATTAAGTAGTACAATCTCGTCGCATTATCCATCTCGTCAACCTGACTTACATTTAAAAGTCTGATGCTGTAATATTGACTCTAGACGTTTGATATCTTGACCTCATATAACGGGTGAGAATAGAAAGCCCTCGAAACTGTAGTTAATCAGCGAACTATCACAATTGATTATCTTTTGCTTATGAACCATGGACATGCAGTCATGTACTACATAAAGATTATATTTACTAGAACCACACCTTTAGCAATACACATCAAACTGGATGGTAGAGAATCGAAATATACTTCACTGAATTGTACTTTCAACTCGTTTGCTTCCCATAAACGCTTGAAATTGCTCGTAATTCATATTCAGTTGCGTAAAAGTCGTAAGGGAGGAGAGGGGGCAATGATAAAAATGGAAAAGCTTTGGGAACGAAGTTAGGGGGGGAGGGGGGGGGGGGTTCAAGCCTATTTCCCAGTCATTTTCTTTTGATTCCAGTCATCTGCAAATTAATGCTATTCGAATTTTTTAAATCGCATTTTCAATCCTACATAAGTTGAAAGAGAAGCCGAGGACAAACGGAAATTTTACTTCTGTATGTAATTTGATAACGAAATTTTTGAACATGTCATTATCCCAGCATAGTGCCAATTAGTCTGACATTCACAAGGACAAACAAAACTTGTCCAGGAAGTCTTAAGACTTGGTGGATGTTAGACATGATGATATTATATATGTGATACGTCATTTAGTAAAAGTTAGGGTCTGAGACAACCATTGCAGTTGACGATTGCAAAATCCTGCACAAAAGTTATCAACGGTGGTTCTGGAAACTTCATTGATAATTTTTACGGTTAGATAATATAAAACATATTTAATCAATCTATTATTAATCTGTTTATTATAACTTCAGCCACAACTTAGTTTTATCCGCTTAAATTTGAGTAGTTGTTAAATGGTACTTGCACAAATTTTCAATATTAAGGTGACTGCAGAATGCTTACTTGAATATGCTCAAATAATTAATGTTGATATCGCGAATAAAAAGCGTCAAATAACGCCTAATAGCTATCCATTATGCTTCTATTAAAATACCACACAAGAAGTTTGCTGAGCCATTTTTGTGTTGTCACAGTACATTCCCGCGAATTATGCAAATAAGACCAAATTCGTGTACCTGACCTTAATAAACTCACAGTGCTTGGAGATATCAGCTTGACTAGATTGTAAAACAATATCTAGAAACATTCCTGCTATCAATAAATCCATCCTGCTCGCAGAGTTTATTAGATTAAATGCAGTTTCATATGGTTTTAAATTATGAGATGGTTATCGCGGGTTATTTAAGGCAAAACAGCCGCCGTCCATTAATACTGCAGTTTATCTATGTTGACAGTTTGAGCACTATTGAAAGACGGATTGCTGATGTGATATAATCTCAAGTAAAAACGTGGCTCACTAAAGACAAGTGTGATACGAATATTGACATGACGTGGGAAGGGAAGAACTTCTCTTCGATATGACTGATTAAGAAAAGGCAAATGACCAGATATTGGTGATGGTCATGCAATTTAGGCTAAATATAAAATGTCTAAACCGTGCTGATATGGCTGACCATATTTATTCAAATAAAGATCCATTCAGGAAGCTATATTTTATAGAAAACAATAAAATGGAACTGGGTGGGGGCAACGAGTAGTTCGGCAGAGGCAAAGGTGCATTGTACTTAACTGTTTGATTAAGTAAAAACTTCAGAGCAAGAACTTATTATTAATAAGAGGATAAAAACATGAAAAATCTCATCATCTTTGCACTTCGGATTGTTGATTCACAGCATTAAACTTTGACAATCAGTATATTTGTTCATCCTATAATTGTCTTCATTTTATTGCTCTCGATATATTATCTGGGCGACTTTCCTTTCCTTAACCAGTTGGGAGTTACTAGAGAAAGTGGCATGGGTTTCTATTGGACCTCAAAAATGGGAGGGGGCACCGGCAAAAAGAGATGCCCATATATCAGTGGGTGACCCAACGCCTTTTTTGGTGGTAGAAAATATCCAGGTGCGGTTAGTTCAAAGCTGGGTTAACTTAACCCTATAGGTTAAGCTAAAATTCCTGAAAGCAATCTTCCTGACAGCTTGTCTATAAATTTGAAAATATTTCTTCAGAGATCTTGTCTGGATCGATAGGAGTTTACTTCTCTGAAGTTTTGAAATAAACAGACGTGCAGAAATACACAAACTAAAACAGCAGGTTAAATTTTAATCCAGGGTTAGGGCTAACTATGGGGCTAACCCACCTTTGAACGATCGACCCCAGATGTCAAAATGTAAGGAACAAGCAAAGTATGGATATACTCCCATAATTGAGATTCGATGAGCGAACAAAGAGACATTCATACGGGAAGATAAGAACGTACAGGAAAGGGAAGCCTTATCATTTGTTTCCCCAAATATCAGAGTTTGACGTGAATTGATATAATCACCAGAATACATTAAAAGTCGTATACAAATTTTCACGCTCGCCCACGTGACTGAAGTTAAATTATTAAAGTCCTGGTTAGTAAACAAAAATTCGAACAAAGATGATTTCTTGTTTTTTTTTCTAACTGGGTCTAACTGCACTTCAAATATATGACTTAGTCTGCATAGCTTCAGCAGAACATTGAAAATAATAAGAAAATATTGCTTTATTAAAAAGCGAGCAATACAGGGCCGGTTTCCCTTCCTTTTATTTATAGCGTTAAGGCTGCTTTTTCATACGTGTACGTACGCATGGAATGAGTTTAAACAAAATTCTGCCCTCCAATCTAAAGGCGATGCCTGCGGAGGTGATCTCTTACGGCGGTCAAACAATGAAATTATGTCTTCCAACTATTAGGTATCGCGCTTACAGCAGTTAATATTACAGTCCCAGAGTATGCCCGTTCGCAGGTTGGGTAGGCCAGCATCTAACCTGCGAACGGGCATACTCTGGGTCAACGCTGGGTAGCAAGCGCGATATCTAATAGTTGGAAGACACAATTTAGGCCCTGTTTACACTATACCGGATTCGCTGGTCACGACATCTTCTTTTGCCGTTACGGAGCAATGGTTAATGCTTATTAGTTTGACAGAATTGGCATGTTTATTTGGGTCTCTGAGATTAAAAATCTTCACAGCCTTTCGATACCTACAAAATTTGACCCACTCCAATAGCAATCCGGTATAGTGTAAACGGGGCCTGAATCATGTGACCGCCGCACAAAGAATTGCGCATGAATTCGAAATGCGCCTCGTAGTAGACCCTGAGCTTTGAGAACAATGATAAACAGTAACTCGTCATCAAGGTATGATGCGTGTATTAAAAATAATTAAGATTGCAGGTAAAAAAGTGCATTATGGTATTATAAGGTCGCTTCTTTCGCAATTTTTTTCCTCGCGCGCATATATTGGCCCGATTTGTACTACAGTACAAACACATCATCCGTCTGACGGATTATCCCTCTCAGTAGCAGTCTAACTATTGTGCGATCTACACTAGCCACGATACCAGCTTGGTTTTGCTGCAAATGTCTGCGAACTACAGGCAGCAACACGTTGGTTTTCCTTGGACCATCCGTCTATACATCTGATTGATTGCCTGCGCAGGTCGTTCTCCAATTATCGTGTGCACAGGGGATTCAGCAATGACCTATCTCTACCCCCAACAAAATGAAAGAATGTATGGCATCGACCCGCCAAGACTTGTTATGTCATGCAACGCTCTGAATTCCAGCTGGCTAGAGACGTCGAGTCCTAGTTTCTTAGAGACAAATTTTGAAATGAGTATCGGAGACGTGAATAAGCGGTACTGTGAATTTATTTGTAGTAGCCGCGGTGAAGTACAAGTCCTGAAGTCCAAAGGTCGTTTCTTCAGTGTATTGTTGATTCTTATAAATATCGACATATTTACATTAAAACATTTAGGCATGTACATCGAGGGTCATAGTTGGGCTCCTGTTTAGTTTTCTCTCGCCATTTTATTGTTTATATCTTACTATTTTTCCTTGAAGGTCCTTGAAGTACCGGTGCCCCACCACTTTATACGCCCATCTCTACGCCCCTTTGGTAAATACAATCTCGTGATCAACCTCATGTTTTTGCAGCCTTGTCAATATGGCGCACACTCCTTTTCTTTTGTAAGAATCTTGTTTAGATAATTAGATTAGTACGATATATTGAGGATGAAATGAGAAAGAAACTGCTTTACAGACAACAAAATATGCAGTCTCCTGGAGATCTTGTTCCTCTACTCGTGCTACACTACATGTGATAACAAGAACTGAAATACTATACTCTGTAATCTGAGAATGCATATTAGAATTTGAGAATTTCATATATTAACCAAACAGTAATATTTGACAGTCTTTTGCGGTGTTTAATTAATACATTGCTTAAATTTCTCTGCTTTATACCATGTAGTACCAGGAAGAGAGATATACTGTAATTACACTGAATGTACATAATACCCCGGAAATTCCATTCATTACAAATGATCAATGATTTGTAACATGTGACTAACAGCCTTTGTTTACATTTGAAGAATTGAGCCCGTTTCCCGCTATAATGCAGCGGTTCTAGGTAGACCGCATGCGTAATGAACATGAATTGACGCAGTTCGTAAACACGGGGTTTACTCTGGCTTGCGGGGAAATGTGTTCATGAGTAAACGAATTTAACACTTCGTAAAACTTGATTTTTTAAAGTATGGAAACTACTGCTGTTGCCACAAGAGAGAGGTTAGAAGAACTGTCATATACAGTGAAATAATCCGGCATTTTAATGTTGATTTTGTGTGTTTTTTAGGCGAAAACGGGTGCATTCTACGAAGTGTCCTTGCTGTTCTCACGAGCAGGGAAAACCGGAATTAAAGGCAAGGCAAAGTCGAAAACGAAAGGTAAAGGAAAACCTTATTTTCAAACGTTAAATAAACACAGAATTAGTTGAGTATCGTCTGTAACGTCACCACTTGTGTTTAAATTAGTTAAAACAGTAGTTGAATTTACAGAAAACGTGAAATTTAAGTCAGATAATTATAGCGTGTTTCAGCCCTGTACCGAATTGCATCGATGCAAAACTTGTAAACAGTAAGCAGTAGTGGCTATAAAATAGATCATTTATGGTTAAATCAGTGCTGAATATCTTTAGAAGTAGTTGGACTTTAATTATATCGGTTAAAAGTTTTATTGTTGTGTTAAATTCATTCTGATCGCACAAATAGTGTCACCGTAGTATATTCGTAGTAGAGTTTACGATGACGCTGCAAGATCTGCGACGTTAAAACGCATTTTAAGATCGATTTCGACGCTTATTTATTTGATTCTGGCTTAGCAACGATCCCTAAAATATTATCACGTATTTATAGTGTTAAATTACGCAGAAAACATGATCAGGAAGCGATGTATGTTGAACGATTGTCACAAAAGTGGGCGCGCCATGACTTTCCCCTGGCGACCAGACAAGTTAATTCATAAGAAATCAAAACATTCTGGGAAAACTCGTCGCATTGTTAAATAAAATTTCTAAAAATTCACGTTTTGGTGTACTTTAAGATATATTTCTTTACTAACAGTGTATAAAACGTAAATTTACAAATTTAATCTATAGTATTTATGCTTGAGTGGCCTTCGCAATTTCGAGAAAAGCCGTCTGCTTCTCTTCAAGACTGCGATGTGAATGGATAATTTAAATGTTAATATGCATGAATTTTATAGCACACTTCAAATTGCATAAATTGGGTTGCTAAGCAAAGCAAATAGTTTTTCCCAATATGTTTTAACAAAATTCCTGGTAAATGTTGCATTTTTCATTTCCCCCAGCGCTGGCCACCCAGGCTCCATTTCCTGTTAAAAACATCTATTATTTACATTCATTGTTTTTGATATTTTTATTATAGTAGATCACAAAAATAACAAGATATTTTATAAAATGTGATTCAGTTGTATTCAGTTTTGATTGACAGAATCTGGATACCTTATTCATGTTACTGGAAATGCAATATCTCAGGAATGACAACTGGTTGTGCAATAATGCACTTGAAGATCACATGAACTTGTCCTTATCTGAGGACCTGCTTGCATGAATTACTTGATTGACTTGTACAAATGAACTGTGGTGGCACTACCAGGGGGGGGGAGGCCCCAATGTTTTTCAGAGTATAGTTTAAGGCCGTGTTTATTCTATAAAGCTATGGCTAGCATTCCGTACAAAATTACTATGCTTCTTAGTATCGTGTTACACTATAACGGAGTGGTTTGCCGTGGCGGACCAACTATGGACCACTATGCCTGGCACTTCAGATACAGATCAATATACGCTACAGTAAATTGGCTTTAGCATGATGGTGTAAATGTGGCCTAAGGTTCGTTCAAATCCGATTAAAAGTGGTGTGTGGGTGGAATATTGTCAGCAGACAGTGTTGCATATCTTGCACACATCTACTATGGCATCTGCTCATAGAATCTACTGAACTTTGTTCTGATATAATGCTCTCTTTCTACTGAATTGAATTGTCAAGTATTATGAAATCACAAATTATTAAGTTGTGCCAATCTCAAATGAATTAATGTACTAAGCCATAATGTGCCCTAATGCACCCTACTTTGTCACTTTGCCAAACAACTTTACTTGTCAAGTTGGATGTTGGATAAAATCAATCAATAAAATATTCAATTTGTGGCATATTTCTTTGTTCATTTTGAAGGGAGATGACATAAATAAAGAGGAGACGCCGCTACTGAAGGCTAAAAGGTAGGGATGCATCTGTGTTGCAGAATTGTATGATTTTGACATATTGCCCACACAATTATACATGGTGAATAGGCTAAATCTTATTACCAAAAGACAGCACATTAATTAGTATACACCATCACTATTATCACCATAACCAGTCTACCATTGTCATCATTACCACCACCATTACTATTGTCACCAAAATTACCACCATTATATTAGCTACCATCACCATTACTATCAGCATACCACTACTATTATCATCACCATCAGCTTTTCCCTGATGATCAAAAGTCTTTGAAAATCTTTTAAAATTAAATTTAAGGTCACCCAAGTCTGCTAAGAGCAAGATAGCAGCTACCACACAGTCAACTGATTCAGAAATTTGTAGCTTCAGAGAAGATGAAAATTCAACTACTGAAGTTCGAGTACTCCGTTCTGGACGAAGCACACCAGTTTGCATAGAAACAGGCAATGGCAAAGAAAAATCTGTTTCCCAGAAACCTGTTTCCCAAAAGAAAACGAAAGTGAAGAAACCCATCAAACAGGGCAAGGAACTTATCAAACGGGAAAGTGTGACAGACAGCGATTTAAAATCAGGTTTCTCTAGTGTCAAAAAAGAAGAGCAGTCTGACCTTTTGGTTGAGAAAAATATTACCATAACTGGTAAGAAGAGTAAGGCTAAAGCCAAGACCAAAAAACAACTCAATAAAGTCGGCAATCAGAGTTCTAAATCATTTGCTAATTCTGGAGCAGCACAGGGAAGTAAAAGTGTCCAGCAACAAAAAGGAGAAAAAGTTACCAACCCCAAAAGTGCTCCAAAAGGTGGCAAACAAAAAGCTCAAGTGAATTCTAAAGTAACAAAAAACAAACGTTCACATGTGGCTAAAATAAAGGGATTAAATATACCAGCAACAGCAAAGGCTGCTAAGAAAACGTCCGCTATTGAAAAGCTTAAAGTGAAAGCATTTGATCAGTTGAAAGAAAAGTTGGAAATTGCAATTGATCGAAGTTCAATCAGCGTGCCAGAATGCGCCAAACTACTACAGCAAATAACATCACCCAACCTGAGTGAGATTTTTTATAGCCAACCAGCCTCGGTGGATGAGGGCAATTCTGAAGTACTTGTAACAGGGCTAGCAGGGAAAAGTTTGCCAGAAATAATAACCGATGGGATGAAAAGAACTGGAAATTTAACAAACATGAAAGAAAGCGCAACCGAGAAACCAATCACGAAAGAAGAAAACGCAGTGGCTGAAAATTTATCTGAAGCAGCACACGCTCTTGTAAGCTTCAAGATTCAAACAGCGAGTGCTAATTCAAGGATTCACTTGGATCAAGAGGCACCTTCGTCAGCAGGGTTTGGCTATTCCAGTACACCAGTAACGCAAGCTATGGTAAAAGATCGTTTTCAGATTAAAAATGGGAATAACCTGACAGATTCAGGATTTCCAGATCAGCAGTTTGTCAAAAACGGCAGGGGTAACCGATTTGATGGTGCGATGTCAGTCCCAAGACAAACAGTGAAGGATTTATCGAGTAAAACAGCGTTGATACAGGCAAAAGTAGTCGAAGAAACCTCTGCACAGTCGACAAATGGAGCGCAGTCCACATCAAACCAAGCGTTACAAACGAGTAACCTTCAAGCTGTCAGCCATGGACTGGTCGTACGCAATGATCCACTTGTGAAGAGCAGTATTACAGAATCATCAGCCAGTGGGTGGTCATCATCAAGTCCTTTGGTGCCACTGACCAATCAATTGCTGCAAATGGCAAATCCTTTAGTTCCAGCAACCAATCCGTTTCTTCGTATGACAACATCTTTGACTCCAACAACCAATCAAGTGCTTTCAACAATAAATCCATTACTCCCAACAACCAATGAGGCGCCTACAGCAAATCAGTTGCTTCAAGCGAATTCTGCCCGAGCGACAACACATCCCCTGATACCAACAACCAATCAATTGCTTTCTAGTTTCCCCAATGTATCAGCTATCCCAACTTCTGCTTCGAAGACAGACACGACCACTCTAGTTGCAATCTCCCCGGGGCTTCCTGTTGTACAAGCTCCGAATGTGTTAGTAAATCAACCACAATTGGCATTTCAGCTCTTGCAGGCCCAGCGAACCAGCCCCACCATGCCCACTGTCATGGCAACAACCCAAACCCAATCAAACCCACGATTCATATGTCCAAATCCAACAACTTTCCCTCGCAACACCACACCCAACCAAGAACCAACTACCCTACTAACAGCACCCCTCAACCAACGCCTCTTTTTACCAAAAATGACATCACCTGTTGATCTACTCCTGCCCAAAACCGTCGCAGCACATGTCACAGGAACTGTTCCTACAACAAGTATAAATGAGATACCAAATTCATGCAAGCTTCGGCCAATACTACCAAGAGAGCCTTTGGTTTCACCGACCTTTACGCTGTTCAACCCTCCTCTGCAAAGCTTACAGAACGTAGTGAAAGCTACTGATACATCTAGCAATGTTAAACAAGCTGTAAAAAGACTTGTTAATGCACGAACAAAGAATACTGACAACCCTTCACGACAGCAAACGACATCTCTTCCAGATATTGCAAGTACATTTAACAAGGGTTTCTTCACGGCAAACTCTCCAAGGAATGTCGGGCCAATGATGGCCCCTGCACAGAACACGGAAATGGCGAATAAGGAACAAGCTATCAAAGCACTGCTTAGTATAGGCAGTGAACAACAAACAGTGCAACAAGGAACGAAAGGAACTGCTACTAATGTCTTTGCAAGTAAAGAAATTGAACCAAGGAAACCGGATGATTTGCTTGTCGTGTTTGATACAGATAAAGGAATTTTTAAAGTAGATGATGTTACCATTGACCCTCAAGTCAACACCATTGGCAAAGGTAATATTCTATCTAATTTTCTATCTCAAACAATGTTCAGAAACATTCAGGAAATTACTTTTCATGATTTTTCGCAAAACGCTTTTTCTACTTTGCTGCTAATTTTTTTCTGGTGGAAATTTTCACGCAAATTTGTTTTTAACATACCCAGGACATAGCTTAAGGCCGGATTCCACGAGGCGGAATTTTTCGACCGAAACGAAATTTCTCTTTGTCTTTTTACAATTAGTTCTGCTTGAGAGCTCATGAAACAAAGAGAAATTTCGATTTGGTCGAAAAATTTCGCCTAGTGGAAAACCGCCTTTAGTTTCAAATAGTTTTTACTTTGCGTTAATAAACCTACTTGGCAAGTAACTAATTAGTATTACGGTTGTTCTAATTATTCTAGAAAGTTACACGTGTGGAAAATGTGGCAAGATCTTCACCTCTTTGAGTTACTTGGCTAGGCATATCAAACGTGTTTGTCCAGATATGACGCACCGGAAGTGGAAATGTGACCTCTGTGAGAAAGCATTTCGTCATCCATTTGGTTTACAACAACACGTGTTCACTCACACCGGGGAACGGCCTCATAAATGTTCACAATGCCCTAAAGCTTTCTACAGCTCTAATGATTTACGAAGACACAGCAGAATACACTCAGGTAATGTCAGTATTTTGATATTTATATAACAAAGTATATAAAAAACTTCAAACCACAACGGGGATAAGTGACCAACATAAGGCCATTTTCCATTGCGGTCGCTTTGCCCGCGCGGGCGGTGCGACCAATTGTAATCACGTGAAAAATCAGTCGCGCTGGCACGCCAAGAAAGTTGAATGTAGTTCTACTTTCATGGCGTGTCCGCCAGCGGTCAGGCGGACAAAAAATGCACAGGTTAGACAATTGCAGAGAAAGTTAGCGGGCTTTGGAAATCTGCTCACGCGGGCGTGACGGGCGTCAAAAACAATGAACGCTTCGCCCGCGCCGGCAAAGCGGACGTTAATGGAAAACGGCCTTCACGCCAATGAAGTGTCTGCCAGGGCTGTGAATAAAAATTGCGCTTTCCTTTCTTCTAGGGGAACGTCCTTACAAGTGCAAACATTGTGGTAAGACATTTGCAACAACAATCTCGCTCAAGACTCACACTTTTATTCACACGGGTGAGAAACCACACCGCTGTCCACATTGTCCGAAGACGTTTGCTACCTCAAGTAAACTGGGTCGACATATTGTCACGCATTCTGAACAGCGGCCTTTCGCTTGTTCTCAGTGCCCCAAGACCTTTAATAGATCGGGTAAGTGAAATGTGTTGTTTTCAGACGTTTTGTTCCCAAATGACTTATCTTTCAATTACATCGCTAGGGAAAACCAAACTATACCATGAGATCCCTTTTAGGGATTTGTATCGCATTTTAATACTGTACTGTACCAGTTTACCAGTACTGTTCTTGTACCTGCACCAATACCCTGTACGTGTACCTGTACTGTAATTCAGTCTGGCGGCCGTCAAAGCATTCTATGATCAGCCACTTGAAATTTCTTGAGTACCTCAAAATCTGTCAGCTGCCGTTCATTTTACCTATTGCAACGAAAAGACGAACGTTTGTTTGCCACGTATACGACAAACGATTTTATGTTTGCCACTTTTTTTTACCACGTCCACGAAAATAGGTTGCCGGTATTTTTATACTATTACCCTGACACTACAACTCTATTTTATGCACGATGTGATTAATTTTCAATGATTTCCAGGGGATTTGCGGAGACACAATCTAAATCTTCACCAAGGAAAACTTTCAGTAGAAGGCGTTGACGAAAAGCCGGATACCAAGAAAATATTAAATGTTCCTCAGGAAACAATATCTAATATTTCTGAACAAAAAATACAGTGAAATACCGAGCTAATTAGTCATTGGGTGTAATAACACGGGCATAGCTCATAATTCTAATAAGTATAGTTTAAGTCTAAATTTAATAATACTAGCTTGTGTACAGAAGTGCTTGATGTTGCAGTGAACTTGTTTTGTTAGCCTTTTTATCCAATAAATTAATATGTGGAATATTTAATATGAATGAAATTTGTGAAACAAATTTAATAAGTGTTAGTGTTAATTTCTTTGGACATGAAACAGCCAATGTTTTGCATGTACTATATATCCTTGTGTTATAGCTTCAAGCACGGGCTATTGTCTATAATATTAAACTGTTTGTACTAATGTATGAAATCTAACCCATATTATTGTACACTACATATTTGTTTCAATAATGTAGAATGATAGAAACTTTGTAATATAAAGGTAAATAAAACCACAATTGTTACTGTAACACTCGAGGTAAAGTTGAATTTACAGTAAGAGTCTCCTTAACCTTCTCCGTAGTCTGACACGCAGACCACCTACAACATAAATTAGGAAGGTCGCCATGCAACATTTTCACCAAATTATCAAAACTCTCTTGGAAGAAAATGGCAAAATGTGTTATCATTGAGTACTTTGAGTTTGTAATTGATGCTAAATTCGTGACCTTGATTTTAATATACGGCGGTAAATTGCAAGAAACAGACGACCATTTATCCTTTTCCCAAGAGATCACAGTGCATTCTGGGATTGTTTGGAGGAACAAAAAATATGGTGACAGGCGTCAAATATTGAAAGATTTGAAGTATCTACTATCAAATATCAACTTTTTACACAAAATATCTCCTTTTTACATTGAACATTTAATTAAAATGTATGCTGCCATATTTCTTGTCCCTCCAAACGGGACTAGACCCGGGACTTTGGGAAATGGCTAATATCGGGGCTCGCACTCTAGTAGTTACGATAAAATTCAAGTTAAGATCTTTCCACTCGAGGACTCGACAAATCTTCGTAAAATATGACATGATTTTTTGTGATGACCATTAAAGATGCGGTACAGTCCGATCTGCGCATGTGCACAAAGGAGCCCTCTTTTTATTTACAAACAGTTTATTTAGGTTTTTATTTCATTTTATGTTCTTGCAAAGCTTTATTGTTGTCTCTTGATAATTTATTATACTCTAGAATCATGAAAATATAAATAGTTGTCGAACAAAATTCAATATTTTGGATACCGAAATGTAAACAAAGCCTTTGTTTACATACAGACTGTACCGCATCTTTAACGGTCCAGTTCATTAATAGATAGAAATGTGAAAGGTTTAGGTCTCTCAGAGACCGTCTCTGGTTTCAGGTGTAATCACCACAGCTGAAAAGAAATGGACTTTCAAGAACTTGCGTCAATTTTCAAGTCCGACATGGATTTTTACTTAACTGTAAGCACTTTCCAAGATTTTCAAGGACCGCCGGAACCCTGAATTATCCACTTACGAGCCGCCATCTTTGGCTTTACCTTTCTGACCGATAAGCCTGTCCCGCAACGGAGCGTGGCCCTGGGGACGAGAATGAGGACTGGAATATTGACTATAAGCGACAGGTTCGAACTGTAGCCTATTGGTCGAGTTCTTTTTTCGTTTGTATATGGACCGAGCCGAAAAAGAACGAGACACATACTGAACGAAAAAAGAACGAGACTAATATCCCACTTTCCAGCCCGAACAATCTCAGTCAAGTTATCATATAGCCTGCGTACTGCGTATAGCTACGAACAACAGCATTCTTCGAGTATTTGAACATTTAAGAACGCAGTTCTTTAGTTCGCTGGAAAAAGCCGTTTATTGTCGCTCGGGAACCAATCAAAATGCTGCATTTTGCAAATGGACCGCCTCGCCAATAATAATTGAAAACTATTATCGAACTCACTTTGCTGGTACAAGAGCGCAACACATCATAACCAAAGTTCTGACAATGAAGGAAACGGTCTACCAAATTCTGAGGACGAGAGGTGTTGTTTTATATCAATTGCCGACTACGTACAATAAGTTGTCATTACTGTAGCTACAATTCAATATATTCACACACTTTGTTGTGTACGAATGTATAGGTTTTGACCACGTTTCACTGTCTTGCCCTGTTGATGTTTTCAAAACCTCATTAAGATCCCAAAACAAAACCTTTCCGTCGCCTCCGGCACTTGCTAAAAGGTTACACGAGTTAACAGTCAAACTGTAAAGCGTATGACTGTGAGATGTAAGTTGTTTTACTCGCTTGCCAGACGAAATGTCCCACACATGAATAACCCTGTCTTCTCCACCACCAAAAAGGTGTTTGCCATCTGGTGAAAACGCAAGCGAGAAAATTGAACCCTAAAAATATTAAACTGATTCAGGGATGGGATTCACTTGGGGGGG